TTCTAACTCGGAAATTCGAAGAAACACGTTCTCAAAGACACAGGCAATAAAAAAGATGAATTAATTATGAGAATATTACATACATTTGTTTTTTTTCCCGACTAAAGAAGTTTCAGTACACATCAGAATAGAAAATTTTAATGTAATGCTTCTCAATTTTGGGATATCATTCTCGATATCCGATACAGTACTTTAGTTTCCGCAGTTTTATGTAACATTTGAGAACGTGTTAATATAATATTAATTGTAGTTTCGATTTTTATTCAAGACTTTAAAAATCTTATCACCCCGCGATAGAGCACACTCTTGAAAAGAGTAAACCAATATAAATCGATGGTACGTGTAAACTTGTTTTCAATACGTAAACGTTCACTGTGGAAACAACGATGAGTATGAGATGATCGAATCAGAGAAAGTTAGGAGGTTGTGTGCTTTGCGTAAGGCAATGCAGGCCAGTGCGGTTGGAATTGGCAATTAAAGGTAATGACACAAAGGATTCTGCTTTTCGTTACTTTCAAAGCCCCGTTGTATACCTTGATAGTTTATAAGCTTTGAGGTATATATTTAATTGTGCGCATGCATTTGAGATACGGCGGTCGTTGCATTCGTATTTACATTGGTAATGTGTTCTTTATTGTGGATAATTGTAAAGGATCCTTTAGAGGAAAGCGGGTAGAAATAACTTGATTGAGTAACAAAGTCTTTCAAAAATGAAAATAAATTCTAATGATATTAAAACAATTTTTTTGGCATTTTGTGCGCTTGAATGTGTCTAGTTTGTCACAGTTCAGTAGTACGCTTATTGGTAATTTTACTTAAAAACATATTTATTTTACTAGGTAACTTTACTTTAAATATACTCACTTGTCATTTTTTAAAGAGTAAGGCCCTTACTCATATTTCACTTTCAGCAGCGCTTTTAAACGTCTTTTAGTTAAAGATGATCGGACCGCTGGTAAAAGACGCCACATTCGTACCTTCTTTTATGACCGCTTTTAGTTAAAAGGCCGTTTTTACGAAATGTAATAACAACGTCGGAAAAATGTGACAATTGCGTTACGCGCATGCGCTCCACGTGCCCAGCGCGTGCGTTTTGTGTATGCCAAAAGTTCAGAGTCGGCTGAACATTGCCGCAAAAATGGAAGCGAGTTTTACATAAGAAAGCCGGAATCAAGGCCCAATTTCTTGGTTAGCCATGAACGACGTAAATTCGACTTCAAAAATCCCTGGTATTTATTTGATGCCCTGCATTCACTTCGCAAGCTTTTGCTCTGTGAAAAATGTCATTAATGCATTTCATTTTCCGTGTACGATTTTGACAACTGAAAGCTGTCAAAATTTCATATATGATTTTGACAGCTAAAAGTGGTTTAAAAGTCCCCCTACCCACTTTTAGGGAATCGTCGCTCACTTTTATCCTAAAAGCGCTCAAAAAGTAGCTTAAGGGGGGTATGAGGAGGTATTGCTGCTAAAATACGTTTTTTAACGCTAAAAGTGAGATATGAGTAAGGACCTATGTCGCTAAGAAGTTTGAGTGCAACAATGCATATGTACTCTACAGTGTACTCAGTCATTTATTATAGTATCATTAGATAGTATATTTATCTAATGAAAAAATTAACATAATACCTTTTACAGGATAATTTCGACGTTACTTGCTTCTAGTGTCGTATAATCTATAATTAATTAGGTTAATCATATGTTTCAGATTTCCGTTAAGTTCTTGTGGTACGGAGATATGAAAGTGGCATCTAAATGGTCAATCGTTCATGAGGCTTTTTTCTTAACTGGGTGTACCGAATTGTTTCATACAAAATTTAAAAAAGGTCCACGAATAAATTATAAAGAAATTGAAATATCATGGATGTCAAGACCTTCCTTATAGCCTCTATAATCATGTTGTGAAGTTTGAAGCGATTCGGCAAACTCAGTTCGGAGGAAAGTTTCATAAATGAGACCTCTTTGATGCTACTTTCATATCATCTTAATCCCCATAGAAATGAAGTAAAAATGTTCGTTACTCTAATCTTTCAGTTTTCTGAGAGGTGTTGGGTAACAACCGCCAGTCTGGCAAAATCAGGAAATAGAATGGCTCTCTAGATAAATGAGGCTACAGTTCGTATCGATTCAAGCAAATCAATATCAGGAATAAGGTTGCAGTCAATGAACGACTTATAAAGCGAAACATACAAGGTGGTTGCGAGAAAACAGTTTATCAATTGTTTGATAATATCAGGCCTGAATTTAAGGTACCTGCACGGAGAAAAATAAGAACCTTAAAATTACAGAAGCCTATCTGTTGGGAATTTTTGTTCTCGATATAGTTAAAAACTGTCCCATTAACGGATTAATTCAGTTAGCTTTACTTTTTTACATGTACACTTAGCAGAAATATTTCTGTAAGAATCATCTCTAATTACAGCTGAAAATATCTGTTAACATTCCCAGTGATAAAATTGGTATAGTTGAGGAAATGGAGTTGCCGATATGCGGAAATGGGCCTTTTGCAAGAAATGACTTCACGAAGAGTGCCCGAGGATATCATTCGAGGATTTTTATGACATATTTTCCCATAACTGTGCAAATTAATATGCAGAATTGGTTGGACCTTACCACCGATGTCGGTGGGCCTTATTACCCATATGCGTGGGTAATAAAACCCAGTAGCGTCATACCGTAAATTTCTTTAATTACGTTTTTGTTCAGAATTGTATTTATTATAGTTTGCAACTGAAATAAACATTGTTCACGTTCCCCCTGCTCATTTTCTCTTCTCAACATACTTTATATTTTAATTTTTACAGGCCTTTTAAGTTATGATGGGCTTTATTGCCCCAATGTATCTTATTCATCATTTACGTTGCATTTTTTCATCAAAAAGACAAGTAGTTAAGATAAATTTATGTGTTAATGGAAACATTACTAAATAAAAACTCGCCAGTCAGTTACGGACGTATCAAAGTCGGAATTGTATATTCCTTCTGTTGCGTTTCTTAATATAAAAATTTGCAAAATGAGCACATTGCAGAATGGCTAAAATTCATTAGTCTTTTGCCACAGTACAAGGGTTACATTAGTCCATATTACTTACGATGCATTTATTAAATTTAGAAATGCATTATTCATCACGCCACACATTTTAGTCCGTTTTTAGAATTCGCTTTTAATGATAATTTAATTAGAATAAATATTCGTCTACGATTAAATGCCCCCAACACTTATTGGTTCTATACTCATTGTAAGCGAATCTCAAAAATTTAAAAATAAAACAAGAATAAAGACGACTACTCAGTAAAAATGACGGTTACAGCTTTTTATATTTGTATAAAAATGACTGTATATACGTCATTGCGTTTGATATAGAGAGAATGAGCCAATAATTTTTAAATTAATTTAAAAGTTATTAAGGTGAAGTGAAACACGTCGAGGAACTTGATCAACGTCGGTAAAGAAGATTTTTTAAATGCATACGTTGCCGACGTTCAGTTTTATATTGACAGCTGTGCCGAATTAATATGGGGTATTGTACCAAATAGCATACTCCACCTGTCGTTTTCGTACAATAATTATAAAGAAATCGAAGTAAAACTCCAGAAATCCTCTGGATTCATGCTTCCTAGGGCCCTAATTGACTGCAAAGGGACACCCTGCGCCATTTATGATTTCTGCGTCAACTAAATTTTCGCTCCGAGACCTCGTATTTTCATCGTTTTAGCATAGCAACGCATAAGACATTTTTTTGCCTTTATCCCATTCAAATGCGAGTTTATCGATTACCAAAGTGTTCTAAATTGTCGTAAAATTGTTCTGACCCTTTCGATTCTCATATCGGAGCCTGCGATAATTGTATATTCATCGAGATATGAGAGCTCGACGCCATTTTGGTTCTGGTCTGGGCTGAGTTAAAAAATGTTGTAAAAAAATCCAAATTTTGAATGTGTGAGGACAATTTTTAGATGATCAGGAGTGATGTGTCAAAGTTTCGGACATTTTAATCCAATACCCTTAAAAAAAAGTGTTGTATTCGAATCGACTTATTTGAAAGGGGTTTCACTTCGACTTAAGCATTTCTTCTATTTCAATCTAAGAATCGTAAGTTTTGGCAAGTGCTCATACGTTTGGCTAAAACATTAATATTTATTTCGACTCGAGTTACAATAAATTGAACATTTCGGGGATGCATTGTAACGCAATCTATATTTATGAAGGCATTTTGTGCCATCAGTTTACGTGGCAAATTGAAGCAAATATTTATCCAGTTTCAAGTTAATAGCTATGCATTTTCTTTCTTTGTTTACATTTTGGTGGAGCCTGTATGTTTTCGCACGATAAATTCTACGCCCAGTTGGCCCATATGCGAGGTCAGCGGCTGCAATGTGGTCCCAATGCTTTTTTTACTCTGCATACCACTCGAGTTACAGATCAATCTATTATTCTATCGTTAGCACAGTCGATAGGTTATAACGATATGAAGTCCTTCCCTAATTGAAAATGCGTGACCCAGATTTTCCTAAAAGCCGAACTTTCTTTACAACATCGGATAACTTAGAAATATTATATAATATATTAAATGATAGATAGTCTTGCAAATGAAAATATTTTTTTATAAAGAAAATAAATCGAAACATTATGAGAGTATACTTTCCGTCACAAAAAGGTTGACATTGTACATTGAGAAATATCAGTACTTATAAAATAAAGAACAAAACTTGGCCGTTTTGATTACTCCGTTTATAACTTGTGCACCTAATTATACATCTAACTATAACAATTTTTTTCTCCTTCTAATAAATTCTAATTCCGCAGAACGATCGTTTTGGATAAGTAATATACTTCTCTATTGGGATTAGAGTTTTTGTTCTTGAATGAACAAGGTGTTGATTATATGGAAATTATCATTGCCTGTACGACTTAGATTTAGCCGTACATCTGAAGGCCGACAAGAAGCGTGTTATTGACAGAAAAAGAAAATAAAAACGCATGAGGATAGGTACACTTACCAGATTCCACACGGTGAGATATTTCACTTGGCCTGGGTCAAAATTACGAAAGGTCTGCCGCAGGGGAATATCCAAAATAAAGAATGTGTAGTAATTGGTGAGCAAATATGTCACCAGCATCGATAAATGCACCAGGCCCGAAACTACCGTCGACGTCATCTCGATGCCGTCCTAATGTGTACGTCCTCCGGAGACGACGTTTCGGAGCTGTCAAACTGAAAGAGATTAGATAGGACTGTTATAACCCTTATCTTATCAGATTGTGTTTTCAGGAAATTTGCAAAAGTTTCGAGGAATAAGTTAAGTACAATTTTTTAAAATTATATAATTTTGTATATACGATGTTTCGTTGTACCTATCCATGTGTTGTTTGGTACGCAATGGATTTCGTCGCATAAAATTCTGGCAAGAGCATGACTTGAGTTTTATTCATATTTTGTTCAATTTGAATTCTGCATATCCGTGAGTGTACCTCTCTTACCCCGAGATCAAAGTTTTTCTACATGCGAGAGGTTAGAAAAAAGTGAGCATTTCTGAAATGATTATCTAAAGAAATATTTTACCTGTTTGTAAAAATCAATTGTAGAAAAGTACATAACTGCTCCGAGTAAAATTTAAAACATTGAAACGTAGATTACTAATATTAATTCGATCGAAATAATTAAAAGATTACGAATATTAATTCGAGCCCTTGTTGCACCCATCTACCCATAGTTAACTCGTAGCAATGCAAGATGGAGAATTTTGGCGGTCTATCTTTTTCGAATTCAGTTCCAATACACGCGTAGCGAAGATCAAGTGAACAGGTTGCTCTCCATCTCTCCCCCCTTACAGAGAAAATATCTGATTGTTTAAGAGGGCACGTATATATCGTTTCTGTTTTGTGGTACAGAAGCTAGTTCTCTTATCGTATTGCTCAGCAGAGAGGTTACTTTTCTACGACGAGAAAAAAATATATAATAGGACTGTACATTGAGGAGAGAGGGTGATTTCAAGGTCGGCTACTCCGGCGAGCGTTCCAGTATCATTATATCTGTAATTTAAAATAAGACGGCTGATATTTTTTTATCGAGATCGTGGAAGCGGATGGAACATGATCTGGGTTCATAGTGTACAGGCTCTCATGTAACAATATAAGAGAAAATCTTAGGTGGTCAATAGGAGAGAGGAGAAATAGGAATTTGAACTCGTACGGATCTAGTTATGGTACAATACATGAATCGACGCAAATCAAATTGGAACGCTGTTATCGCAAAGTTTAGCCTAAGAAATTAAAACTACGTAAATGGAACGACTGAAATTGATATATATTTATCGAGGCAGAATTTAATGCAATTTTCTTTTCGTTTCTCTGAACGCTTGCGACGCACTTAAAACGTTGATAACGTATACACTTTGTAAGGCTCTGATAGCGAGAACATTTGCCTCGAAGGTAGGTATGTTATTGCATAAAAATAGTCATTAAGAACTCTGCCCGTTGTTGTCGGGTTTAAACGAAGGTCAAGGCTATTTAAATTTGACTCGAGTTCATGGAGTTGTTTGCGCACGTATAGGCGAGGACGCATCGTACGCGTACAGCTGTATGATACTATACCAAAACAAATGTACATGCTGTAAAAAGAAAAGAGGAAATTTTAGCAATAATCAATTCCAACTTTGAGCTCGTCCGATGTTCACTAGCGAACACGAGTAATTATGATTACAAATCGATACGCTTTATTTTACGTGGCAAAGACAATTTGTACAGTGATTTCCAAACCTAGGTTCCTCCCGTTTAGATCTCACGAAGGTCAACCCATTTTCGGGCAACCAAGTAACGCAACAAAATGACCCGAGTATTCTCGAAAACTTCGGACTCGATTACACGACTCGCATACGTTTACCTTGAGGGCTCTTGAAATTCTCCGAAAAGTACCAGCGTCGGGGTTTCCGACAGCGCCAAGGTAGTTTAAACTCGATCCGAGTTCACGGGGTTGTTCGCGCGCCCGTTGTCACCACCGGGTCAAGGTTCCCCTAGGCGCGCGTCCCTCCGACGATCCACGTGAGTCCGTCACCTTTGCGCACGGGTGTCGAACTCGACGGTGCGCCGATCGTTCGATCATTACCGATGTTTCCGAGAACCCGTGACATTCGCCCGTTCCACGCTGCCTCGGGCAGTGATGCCAGCCGAGCGCGCGATATTTGACAGTCGGATGGAATCGATTAGAGTGAACCTAGCGACGAGCCCAAGTCTCCCATTGGCCGGCGTTCGGGAGACTGAGTTCCGGCCGACCGGAACGCGGCAAATAAAGAGAAGAAGCGCTCCGGATGCGAGGTTAACACCTTCTCTACCCGACGCGGACGGCTCGTTCGCGGAGCCTTGACGGACCTTGACCAATGACAGCGCCGAAGTACGTGGAAAATCCGGCGACAAAACGTACTCCTCGAGCGCGAGGCCTCCGCGTCGCTCGGCCGCGGTGAAGTGTACTGCTCGTGTTACCCACTGCGCATCCTGCGCCGCGCAACGCACCGAGCCTGAACCAGTTTGTTAATGGATCTGTTAACGGAAGGATGACGGGGATGAGATGTCCTTCGTTATCCCCGCTCGTGCGACTGTCGTATTTAAAAATGCTCTCTTTTCCCCGGCAGTTCGATTTTCATATCGATCTCTTGTTACCCAAGGATCTTGTTTATAAGTTATTTCTGTGGTCTCAGCAGATGTGTCGTGATATTCCCGGTTTATGTAAAAATTTCTCTTATAAGGCTGGCTCGTTGGGTATAAATGCAAATTGATCAAAGTAACACGGGGCCATGGTATATCTACGAATGCTTCATTGCTATGTTATTTTAAATAAATGACGGAAGATTAATGAATTTTGTATGAATTGCTTTTAACGCTGATTTCGATATTTAATAGATATGTTTGTTATTGACTCGAATCGAAACGAAGCGTCGATGACACAGCACATTCGAACTATGAGTTTTTCTGATGCGTAAACTGTAATTATTCCTGGCTTCGTATGGAATGTTGCGGCGAATACTCTCGAGTTACTTAATGATAAGACAGCCAGGCGACGATGTCTGATAACTCGGGAAAAAAAGTGTTCTCTCCGGTGATGATTCGTTTGAAATATTCGGGATAATATTACGAGATAGAATTGATATAACGTGTTACATGTTCTTAATGGTGAATTAAAGTCATTTGCCGAAAATTTGCATCCTTTTCTCTTGCATAATTCTACTTGTTTAGGTGAATGTAGATCTTGCATCTATTTTTGTTAAGAACAAATTTTTACGGAACAGGTGTTATTGAGAAAAATCAACAATTTGGAGTGTATTTAATTAAGTGCAGAAAGGGGATCTTTTCTAAATTACTATAGTTGCTACTTATTGTAGAAAATAGACAACAGTTCTTTAGATGTTTAAGTAAATATTAAAATAGGATTTTAAGTTAAGAGTCGCCCTTCAACGTTTTAATGATAATTGCAGATCGGCACTGCTTATTTCGGTATTTATGACTAACCTTGAAACTTAATACGAATCCAGTTCTCACCCGAACAATTTTTATAATGACGGTGGAAGATGATATGACACTAGACAGGAAAAGACATTGAACAAAAACAACTGGTCACCTGATCGGTTGAAATTGCTGAGTCAATGTCGGAAAAAATCAGAGATAATTTTATTGAACCTCGACCGAGATTTAAGACAGCGTCGTTCTGCCTTACAACTCCTTTTGGCGACCGATTGCATGTCTTACAAGCAATTGTAACATAAAAGCGTTCGGATAATTGCCTACACGCGATTGGTATCTTAAAGTCTGCCCAGTAAATCTTCCTTGCACCTCTCGATTCACGATCAAATTATTTTATCATCTCTTCTTTTTTTTGTACGAACTATTTATTTTACTTTTCAACGATTGTAAAAAATATTTGGTAAATTTCCTCGGAAAATGTTACATGATTTTCTATAACAATTCCTGATGGAACACGTAATACAACAGAGAGTTAAAACTAGAAATAAATCCTCGGTCTTGATCAGTTTTATGCATACATTTTTAAAAATATATATCTGATAAAAATGAATCCAATAGGATGAGTCCGTGATCCATTTAAGACAGATTTTACGTAATTCTCAATCTTGAAAAATAGAGGACAATAATTTATCGATTGTTATTCCAAAAACTAAAGCCGGCTTCAGACGGTGATTGTTTTCGTACAGGATTGCTTGACTGGAGCCGTGCAGGGATTTATGATTGAAAATGACGTCACCGCAAGCTGCGGTCCATCGGCTCGCCTCATTGGTCCTTCTTTTTGTAAATACTCTTCAACTCGGTACATATGAAGAATATTTACAGAAATAACATTGATATAAATAAATGACCCACAAATCAAATAAGTGACCCGATTGATTTTTACTTTTATAATTTTTATTTTTAAATATTTTAATTTTTATTATTTTGATAACAACATAACTAGCTTGTTATTCAACAAGCAGCCTGTACCGTCTAGAACTAATCCAGTCTGCTTCGCTCCATGCAGAGCAGTCAGCACGGCTGCCAGCAAAGCAATTCTGCAAGCAGCCAGCAAGAAAAGAAGTACCATGGACGGCGGGTTTAAGTGTTCCAGTTTGATTTGCGCCCTTTAAAGCCAATGTTAAACAGGATGATGCGTCTTATCAACTATACGTACTTTAAAAACTTCAGTGCAGGTGCCTCTGAATCCCTCTAAGTCAGGAAAGTGATATGATCCTTTACGATGCCGTGCCTGTGTGTACGTAACGATCTCCTATTGCAGGTCCTCTAACGAAAAATCTGGAGATGGGCCTACGAATCGTTTGCACACACCCTGTGCCACTTTTGCTAGACTTCTTTCTCTTAGACGTTAAACGTGGTAGTACCGAAAGCCGAACTTCGACACGTGCACATACGACGAGACCGTGTGTCGGTAAGAGCGAAGATAGGATAGGATCAAAAGTTACGGAGTCGGAACGAGAGAAAGATGCTGCCAAATATCTGCGCCGACACCTTGTCACCGGCCCTACATCCGCCCTGGTCTTTAGTTACGCGCACTCGTTCTTCTGGGCTCGGCTCCGGTTTTTCAACCTCTGATGTACATAGCCCTGCACTTTGGAGAAGCGAGGAGACTCCGCCGAAGCCTTCTCCCCGAATGGTCTTTGCGGCAGCTCCGATGTCGCTTTTAAGTAAAACTGGAAAGGAGATATTGGGTCTTCGACGAAAGCAGAGAGAGAAACTGATAATGCGAACACCGTGCCGCTGGAAGTGACGTCTTGTTGTTGTCTTCGTCGTTGTAATGTCTTCGAAGAGCCATTTATCATTTTTCTTTTTATTCGCTGTACTACAATTTATATAACCTTCAATGACCGAACGATTCCTTTGGTTTCTGCCGAAGACTTTATCGTCGGATGCAATTTTTGCGTTGAAACGGGTGCTCTGCTTAGTGGTATCGGATCATTAACGAATATCTCATTTTTCTGATCCCTGACTGGGGCAATGCATTAGTGTGGTAACGATTCGATGCACAGTCTTTTTTGGATTGAAATTTTAGAATTAGGAATGGTTTAGTGACCAGGGAAACGAGTGGTAGGGAAAGAGTTCCGGACTATTGATAGCCGGTTGAGATAAGAAGGGAAAAGAGATATTATTCATTAATCGTGGATAACGTCGTTCGAAATTTAAACTTACATATGTGGTTCACTTTTTACAAATATTTAAGTTGCGACTATTTATGGATTGTCTTACGTCTCGTAAAATAACAAGGATGATTTTTCAAGGTTTTTCTGTTTAGGACTATGGACGTAGGATATATTGTCTCTGTACGTTAATCTGACGATGAAAACCACAGAACTGAAAGAGAGAGAACAGAGGGGCTGTTTTCTCGCCCATTCCTTTTTTTTAACGTTAAATAGTTGTACACCGCAATACGGCGACAGCCCATTTAACGGCAAGAGGGACAGAAAATACAGCGCCTCTGTCCTCCTTCTTCCAGTTTTTTCAATCTTCATAAAAATATTAAGAGAATAATTGGATTTAAGAGGTCCATATATTTTACGTTCATGGGGTTTTATGTTTTGTTTTTTTCTTAATTTTTATGTGTTTTTATGCAAGGTAATCAATGCCAAATTCGATGAGTGCCGATTTGTCGTTGTTGTACTTGGTCATGGGAGTGCCAGTGGAACAAGTTATCTTCCGCTCGCCAAGCGTTTTGACGTCACTAACAAGTGACGTAACCGAGCAAGAAGATAGAAAAGCTGATCCGTTTTATTTTCGACAAATCGTTTCCACGGATATTTGATCTTACATTACTTTCGCTGCACTTAATGAACCAGTGGAACAAGAATGAAAAAAGTCCCTCTTAAAAGTATGATCATAATACGTTATGTAAATTTAAATGGTAAGGAATGCGAAGAATCTAGTGCGAACTGTAGGTCGGAGTATCCAGAAATAGTTATAATTATTTGTTCAATAAGTACACTACTGGTTAAAAGTTTGGAGCATCGTACAGTTGTTCTATCCATTACTCCTGCTATTATACTACCCTATCCTACTCTACAATGCTCTTTTACTCTACTAACGTACAATCTATTACGCGGCAAGCCACATACAACAGAAAAGTTGTAGGGTGCTTCAAATTTTTGACCGATTGTATATATTTACGTATAATACCCTGCAACTCCTTTCATTGACATTCGGATTTATTAGTTTTTATTGACCTTTGTGTATCAAGTATTGTATACTTGAGACATTGCATTGTCGTTATTTTTTCATTAACATTCCTAGATGAGATGCCCTCCCGTACAAATAATTCATGATCTACTTATTTGAAAACAGATCACGTTCTTGTCGGACGTCATGCGTAAATGGACTATAGATAGCCTATCATGACTTCATAGTTAAAAAGGACGATTAATGTAGTACTTCGACTTCATTTTTTTATTCGATGTTTGTTATCTCTTGAAATAAATAACCGTTCTTATTGTCCGATATTAGAAAATACTTTAGTTATAAGTTGAAATATAGTATACGTTGTCTAATTACTTCCATTCTAAAAGCAGCGGTACGGGCGTTCTATGTGGCTTTCGGAATATGCAATTTGAGGAATGCAAATGTTAAACGTTATCTGTGAAACATATTGTTTTATATAACATGTATAGTTTTATAAAAAAACGGGTGCCATGTTTTTGAAGCATTTGAAAGAAACTCTCGCGAAACCTCGAATTTTTAAAATGTAAGACATTTTATTTTAGATTTTTCCATTTATCAATTGAGTTGAATTGTTGCTCAAGAACTAGTAGATGTCTGATAAATCGTGAATACTCATTTGGTACTGAAAGTTGGCAGCAAAATTGATTCATCGTTGTGGTTCATGTCTACGCTAAAGAGATATGGTATCTTGAGTTGTGCACCTGTCGTTGTTCGTGGCGACCTCTGATAATCGCGCTTCTAACTACATATGTTTACTATTATTACTCATGCTCTCTTGATCAAGAACATCCACTGATTATGATATATTTTGACAATATACTCGCTCTTGCGTTTTATAATATAACAATTAACATTAACAAGTGGCAAATGGAACAATGTCTATGTAATCAAACTTTGGAATTCCATGTTTATTACTTACATATCATAAATAATTGAGTGATTACAGAAAATAGGTTTGATTGCTTGAAGCGCTGTACATATATGACATCACTGTATATAACAGTAGGCAGAATGCAATAACTCAGCGACATAGAGGTTCATAGAACACGTAACGGACATAACTACTGGTAATACCGCAATGTTAGTGGATCATCGATCGAGTTGACAGTTTTTAAACCTTACGGGTTATATAAAGTCGTAACGTGACTTTAAACACGTGACAATTAACTTTGTACATGTCCCTGCTCATTTAAAATATTAATGTATTTATCTATGTATATACTTTGTACATACTATGTATATATAGATTTTGAAACGGTACAATACAAACGGACAAAATAGTAATACGTTTTACACGTTTTCAATTTTACACGATAATACGTCTAACAGATTTTGCAACATACTGTCCACCTCAATTTGTCGGTTATAGAATTTTTGTTCACTCGTCTAAAAATACAGGAGTATATAATGTTTAGAAAAAAACTCGTTTGCACTGTTGTTGGACCCACAATGTCGTCTACATGTTGATTAGACTGACGCGAAGCAACCTATTCGTTCTTCTTGCCTGCTAGTTGGACTTTCTATGAATGCGATGCGACGCGCAGCTCATATTTGAAAGTTTAAATTAAGACCGCTTCGATATTATGCAGGGCCACGTGTTTCCGGTTTACCGGTTTCCGAGGACCGCGGTCATACTCTCGTATACCACATGATATCGAAAGGAAAGCGATCTGCCCTGACCCTGAGCGTGGATACGCACTCAACTCGTTCCACTGTCACAAGCTGGAGCGTGGTTACTTTTAAATCAAGATAAATTAAGCCAATTCAGAGAAATCAGGAATCCGAGCAAGCTCGGAGCACATCAGTATTTTTCAACCAAACTGCCGATTGAACTTATAGGTAGAGTGAAAAATATTTAGTATAACCCCAAGCAGGTGAATGTGTTAGAATTGTAATGATTTCTATCACTGACGTTAAATTTCGCGCCTGATGAGAATCTTCCTCCCACTATTTCCTAAATTTTCATAATAATTAATTGCAAATCTGTTAACCAGTTATTCATTTCACCATAGAATTTTAAAAATATAAATTTTAATTTTCTAAACGGATACGATTTGGTTCTTGTTTTTCAAGAGCCGATGAAGGCTGCTCCTTTTTACGATAGTATAGACCGTTCGTAAACCTGTTCCTTTATACAGAGCGTCCCGCGCATGTGCAGAGAATCCTCCGCAAAATTCGTAGGAGGTTACGCAATAAAGCACTCATATTACGATCTTGGATTTCGGAAATTAGGGACGGATAGGTCGCTTTGTGACTCCTGTATCCACGATGGATTTCTGGAGTTAAATAAAAGACCGTTCTCAGTCGAGGCGTGGTGCGTACAGTACGCAAGAGCCGAGTAGCGTTACAAAATGGCTGCCGGCCGAAACGCGGCACCGTCGGCCGAGCGTCGATCGAGTTGACAGTTCCAAACCAGTTCCCGAGCGTGCGCGCGACCAGGACGCGCGTCTCCTGGTCTCAACGTCTTCTCGTGGATGTACATTCCAAGGCGCAGAGGTGTGAGCCATATATTCGATAAATCGATCATTGGCGCGAAGGACTCGAAGCCGATTAAAATCGCAACGATTACGCCCTCTCGAGGAATCGCCGCGCAGCTGGATTCTCTGGCGAGATGCGCCGCTGATTTTTCGTCGACTCGCTGCATCAGGAAGTGAGTACAAACTTGTCATTTTGAAAACCACTCGCATTGTGGCGGGAAGTGAAGCAGGGCCGTGTTACGAAATATCTTCTGTAATATGTGGGGGACACAAAAAGTGCACCCGAATATCGAGAGTAATTAAAAATGTGCTTTAATCCATGTAATCCGATTCAAGGAAGTGAGTTTGGATCAAGTCGTTTTTTTCTTGTTAGGATTCATTATGTTCTGTCAATGTTGAATCCGACAGGTTAAAATAGGTCCGTGACAGAAAATGGTAAGTAAATTTTATGTGCATTTGGATAGAATGCAATGTAGGAATACGATTTAGATCATGGCAACCTTGAGTAAACATTTTTGCGGGTAAATTCCATTCGTTATAAATGTATCGCGTTAAACGGAAAGAGTAAAATTGAAACCAGAGGAAGTGAGAGTTTTCTTCAGATTGGTGTACGCGTCCAGGGCGGCAAGACGAAGTGCATTTTATGGAGAGTGGAAGCGGATGTAGATTGTCAGAACTATGTCGCGTTTTTTATCGACAGTGATTCGTTTACAGTGCTTTGCATTATTTTTTTACGTGGAATTATTTGACGCAAGGTTAGCGAGTTGCTTGGGTAATTTTGCAACTTCAATCGTCGCTTCGGTACAATGGCTTTAATAACACCGTGACCGTCTCGTGGAAGAAATACTCAACGCGAAACGGTGACGTGCAATAAGTGAAGTTAATAAACTGCAAGGACGCACGTGCATCGATCCGTGTTCGTGGACGGCGAGTGGTAGCCATCCTCGATCCATCGTGACTTCTGATAATACACCGTTGCAAAATATTGCTGAAATGTTTCACCTTAATCCAATATTTTACAGGCATAACGCAAACGAAATGTTATGGAGACTTTCCTACTTTTCAAGAAAGCAATACTTTGTCATGTATCATTGTCAAGGAAACTATCAATTTTCGTACATAAACCTAGGTATTTTAATTTGACAACACTGCAGTAATCGAAGGAATGTTTAAGAACCGATATGTTCAATACGCAGGTATAATATTTATTCATTGTTAAATTACTGTGTTCATTTTAAAGCGTTGGTAAATACTGAAAAAATTGTAATTCCAACTATCTTCTTGCGATAACATAAATGTTGTTAAATACTGCCATGCGTGAAGATTATAAATTGCAGAAAAAGTTGTATGACAAAGACAAAAGAAAAGCAAGAGTTAGGGTGTATTCGTTCCTGAAATCTGCGTTGCCGTTACGTTGTAATTACCGAAGGAAATATTTTTACATGATATCTAAGAATGGTATTTACTCCTCAGACGTTTTAATGTAATACTTAGGATTGGTAAGATTAAAATCGAAACAGGTATGAATTAGTTGGACGGTATCGGTTTTTTACGGTCTGACAGTTGTGTTCCACAATAGCTATTGTTCCCCATTTCAGACCTTGAAGTGTTTGTTAAACGGAACGTTGCTGTTGTTGAGATTTCCAAATGAAAAGCGAAGAGGAATGTTTAGCAACGGAGCACATTACATGTACAGGCTCATCTCGATCAAAGTTTTATTATTTTTCACAAAGATGTCTTGCCCCGGGGAGAATGCTTTGGTAGAATTTTTGTTCTCTAGAAAGTAATTGCGGTTGATCTACCGATTCCTAAAATCGCAGACTCGGCCACCACTTCCTTATCAATGGCACTCCCTCGCCGTAGGATATTACAGTCTAGGTACACTATGTAAGGTACAGTCCGTGGTTATATCGGCATATCATAGTGACGATGAACCTGAAGCACTAGAGAGCTTTTTCGTGTATGCAGAGTTATTGCGCATACTTTTAACATATTAATTCGAATTTAAGATCTACAGAAAAAATATGAATATCAATTTGTTTAACTTGACATACGCGATAAGTAGTTAAAAGTATTTAACTACATTTCGTCATTGAAAAACGTTTCGTACGTTTTATGCAATGACATTTATAAAATATTCAGATCTGAATATTTATACACTAGTGTAATCCTCCCAGGAAAATAATATGGATGTATTTGCGTGTAATAATTTAATGTAATATGATATCACACATGTAAATGATGTTTGCAATTTTTAAACAGCAGGGAAATTTTCTTCATCTAGTTTAAACAAATATTTTTTTTAATCGTGGAACAGCGAAGTTGGTTTCGAAAATTACAGTACAGAGCTCGTACAGAGAATACTTAAATTTTTTACAAGTTATCAGTTGCACCGATCTTCATAGAGTCGAGTACCAAGAGCACATATTTGCGGAACGGTTAATAGGAGAGTACTTCCGCAATATATGTTTCCGTGTACCACGTAACTAGCTTTTAGAAACCGCTTGGACATGCTGCTACCGCGCAGTAACTTAACCTAGGGTATTCTTGGTTTGATTGTCCAAGGGAGTTGTGTCACGTGTACTTCTTTGTCACACCAGAGAAATAGACACAAGTTATTATCAGAATCGCCAAGTGTCCAGGCCTTTCGATTTCTCTTAGCGATGCAAGACTAAAACGTAATTAATAATTATTACAAAAAGACTCCAGCTTGGAGATAAGTTGCATACCCATGAAGCAATGTTTTGTAAATACCATTATAAATATTGCTGTATCAATAGTAAAACATCTTAGAACATCTGAAAATGAATTTCCGTTTATTAAAAATAAGTCATTCGTTCGAGAATATGATCATATCCCCCACGTTGCAAAGACAGTTTATGGTATTACACGTTTTCTAGTAATTTTTACGAAAGTACCGATTTCGAAGGCCAGACATGCTCTGGTACTTTCATACGATAATTGTTAAATGTTTATATCACAATGTAGGGGAACTAATTGCTTTTAATTCTTCAACGGGTATACCTTTTCGAAATCCCCGGGAGACATTCTACCTCCGAGCCTTGAGCCGCAAAGGATGGAAAGCGATTCGGTTCTTCGGCAAGTAGTTTTGCAACACGACGCAACGAGAGTGAACGGTGAGTCAGACGAACCGGTAAATCGGCTCTCTTCCCTCTCTCTGCGTCGCCGATCTCTCTTCTTTATTCGTTGTGCACGTAAGTTTGTCCTTTTTTCACGGTTCGGATCAAATCAACCGCGGCTTCGGATTTCGAACGAACCACCGCGTTGGTTTCATCAGCATCGTTTCTGATAACGTTACTTATTTTTTAAGTGTTAATATATTTCTGGTTGGTACCAATTTATCTTGAAAATGTTTACAAAATGTGTTGAAAATTTAATAATGTACGCATTTGTGGCAAATTCTTTTTGAATATCAACCCTAGGGGGAGCAGTGGGGGCTAATTAACGACACGTTGTCAATGAAATTTGCAACCGACTAGCCCCTAGTTATTCCTTGTTCTTTTTTGTACCCGTTTGTCTGAAATATGTGGATATAACTTACTCTCTAGTTAATGCGTCAGAATTTGTGCAGTGGGTCAAATGCATGGAAACGTGAGGTGCCAAAATAAACTGGAAATTAGAAAAATGTTTTCCTGAAACATTGAAAATTAGATGATGTACATTAGATTTAGAACTCTACCAACTCTATTAATATTTTATCGTGGTATCCGCAAATGCATTATTATATAATTACCTTGAACAATAAGAAAAATTCATTTAAAAGCTATTGGCACATCGCTCGGTTCATTGGACTTGACATCTGTCATCAAAGTGGTGGTCGGATTTACGTTCCTGGATTCATTTCGTCTAATGCTGGGGTAAAAGTACTTTTACCAATTATTTTATTTATGCCATCTCATCATTTCATTCCGATTTCACTTAAAGGTATGGTCGGAATCGTGAAAAAGTAAAGAAAACAATGAAAAGAATTACATTTGACTCCGTTGTTCGAGTAACACATTTTTACCACATTGCAACATCCATCTGTCAGATTTATAAAGTTTTGAAGGGCCAGATTAGAAATCACAAGGTTAGACGTCATCATTTCATAATACTTGCTCTTTAAGTTTTATTCTGACCACTATTCATGGGAATTTTGCTTGGGAAATTTTGGACGTAACAATATATAGGCATAATTAGGATTATCACGATCTCGCTCCGATTTCAGGTTGAGGTTCGAGAACCGGAGAGGTTGCTCGTGCTCGAGTCTTGAATTAGAGGCCTAGCCCCTCGAAAACTGACTCGGTAACGTTTCCTTGGGTACTTAACTTTTTACCGGCTTCACTGACTCAGCCATCTTTTGTTGATCAAGAACGAAGGTTTGCCATCGTGACTCATAAAGACTCGCCGCGGGGAAGTTCTTTTCTGTGCGCGTCTTTTTACGAAAGGGGCTATCCAGTCCTCGGATGACGATAACTCTTCCTTTTTTCCTCGTCGTTTGAGTTCACCTTACTCAAGGCAACGAATCGTATACGCTTGTTGAATTTCATACAACTACGAAAATTTGTCTAGAGCGGGATACATCCCGAGAAATTTCACGAAACTGTCTCGAAATCGTCTCGGAGCGTCCAGTGGATTGGGAATTTTTGATTGATCTCAAAAGAGATTCCACGACGGAGAATACCTTTCTTCTCCTTTGGAGAACCGCAGGAGGGATGGCCGTTCTTCTTGGCTTCTTCTTTACTGGACGAGAGCCGGTTTTCCATTGTTCAACAAAGGTCTTCGTTTTCGTCCTGTGATTTAGCCTTCGGGAATGGTTTTTGTTCCTGGACGTAACATTATTTGGGTCGGAACTGCAGGCGTCATTCCACACCTTAACCCAGTTATCTAACATACGTGGCATGTATACTTTTCGTGGCAGTCTTTTACATAATTGGACCTCTCGATTGTCATATATCGTTCGCATGATCGAGGTCTGTACGTAACGTTCATTGTCTACAAAGTGCCGGTGTTCGCAAACATTTCAGAACAGTCGATTAATACAAGGGAGCTTGATATTGTCTTCTTACCTGGTGAGTTTTCTGACAATGTAGTTTTTCATTATTTTTCAAGGCTATCACTGGAAACTGTTTTGAACTTTGATAAGTGCTTGCCTAAACTAAGGCATGATTTTATTGACCAAGAAAATTGCTTATCGTAGAACAAACATTGAAGAAAATATTTCTTCTTACTCGTACTTCACAATTAATGTGTGAATTGTTATGTCTTTTTTTTTTTTAAATAATAATGATCTCTCTGCCTCATATATTAGCGGGAAAATACTTTATATAGACTTTTCTGTCAACGTAACAAAATAGTGCGAAACTAAATGGAGGCAAATTTAAGGAGTAAAATGTCGGTTTTGAAAATAAATATGTGTAAATCTTGTACTGGGCTTGAGAAATCAATGATCACGTGAGCTTTCTAGTAGAAATTTCTCGGATCGGTATTGATAGTTGCCAATGTTTTATCAGGTACTATCTGTGACCTGTTACAATTTTATGTAGTAAACATTGGCGGGCTGATATTGTATGAAAGTATACGACACATATGACTCGTATTATCGTGGGCGACATTTTTACAGGATGTGAAGCGTTCTGAAACGTACCTCTGTGTTTCAAAGGAGGAAACGACAAACGTTTCGAGTTTAGTCGTAAATTAGATGTAATGCGATTTCCTGCTGAACTTTTTACAACACTCGTTACAATCTATTTCTTGTGTGATTCTAAATAAGAGGCTCATTGTAAAGCTAGCTATCGTGAGATGCCATCATGTATGTTATATTTTTCTGATATTTAATACCATATAGCATTAATGCATGTAACGGTTAATACGGTAGAATATTAGAATTCGCTCTTCTCCAAAGAAGAACAGTATTCGTTGTAAAACACTTCTGTAAAACATATTTTTGAGAAACTTTTACATGAGATTATTTTCCATAATTTAAGGTGATATGAAAGTGGCGTCCGAGGGGCCTCGTTTATGAAACTTTCCTCGAAATTGGGTGTACCAGATCATTTGAAATTTTACCTCGTGAATACGGAGTCACCGAGGAAGGTTCTAACCCACCCATGGAATTTCACTGTTTTTTTTAATTTATTTATAAACAACTAATTTATATTTTATGAAAAATAAAATTGTATTACTACTAAGCGTTGTCAGGACCTTCTTTAGGGCCTCCGTATTTGCGCGGAAAAATGTAAAGCAATTCGGTATGCTCATTGCGCAGAAATGTTTCATAAACGATTGACCCCACAGATGCCATTTTCATATCAACTTGATTCATACGGTAATTGAAATAAGGAAACCAAAGGATATTAATTTCGATTTCAGATTATTGGGACTGTGAGCAGAAGTCAGGATGTCGGAATACTGCGAGTACATGTGGAATCCAACGCGCGGCCACGCGGACCTCGCCCTTGCTCGAAGTATTTACGAGGATGGTGCCAGACTGGATGTTCGGGATAAGAAACTTGCTATAAAGACAGTCAGGGCTATTCTCCGTGACATGCCAGGCGTTAGTAAGTTGAAAGATCCAGATCAGGACAGTTTCGACGTCCACATGTGGCACTGCTATCTAAACGATTTCCTGTCCTGCCCATATTCACGATTATGATTCTGTCCTTCCTTTAGTTATCCTACCTTTTGCTAGGTCATGTTCTTAAAGGGTTACACCACTTTGACGCACCCAAAGATTACGGTTTTTTAAGAATTAAAACGTTTTTATCCTAATTAAAGTACAGTAAGGCATTATACTACTATTAAACAACAAAATATTTTTTTTTATTTTTTTTTATTTACAAAAATGGCGGCTTGAAAAGCGATTTACCGGAGCGCTGCGAAAATCGATGATCGTGCGGTGGGCACGATAACTCAGTCCAGGTTTAAGCTAGATCATTGAACGAAAAGGAATTAGTTTCTGTAGCCCAAAAGCTAGCGAAATACGTAGCCGTTTTAAAAAATATGCATTTTTCACAAAATGGCATCTATTTGAAAGAAAAGATACGTATTTTGCCCTAAATTTCGTTAATTAATGTTGCATAAGAAACGCGAATATCAATACATTGAAAAAACCATACGTATTTCGCTAGATAAACATATCACGAATAAAATTAAAAAAAAATCAAGACGACTGATTGAAAATTGGCGGAGCTAGAGTGCCCACCGATTTTTAAAATGCAGTTTTAAGAAAAAGGCGTAAAATAAACGCGTAAAAATTGTTTTGATTTTTTGAAAATTTCAAAGTGTTATAACCCCTTAAACTCTCCGTCAATGCTGAAATCGCTAAGAGTGCTTTACCTTGTACCTATTTTAGTAGTATAATTATGGCAGCGTAATTCCGTTCTGCAATAAGAATTTTATAAGATTTCTAGGCATGAAGTTGAAAACTATTTTTACAATTCAGTTATAATGGCTTTTGTGTATAGCATTGCTTTCACTCTTGGGGATCTGATGAATGATAGTAGCAGTGGTTAATTTCCAGATGCAATCATGTTAACGATTTGATTCCATCGGGATGTATCGGCCGATTTTCGTTATTTATGTCTATGCGTACGGTATGTTATAATATTAAAAAGCTCGGTTGAATTTCCAGCCAAATACATTCATGCGAGAAACTCGTAGGGTCGAGCGCTGGCATATAATATACTGAACAAAACGTGACTCGTGTGTAACATTATATGTATATTTATAGGAGTTCACGATACTCTGATATTAATTTTTTTTATTAAAATTGCATTAAGTCGTAATCGATTAAAAATATTACCTGACACTAATAATTATTTGAAATACATATTTGTTTAATTTGTCTTATTATGTAGCATACAATCAAGTTGAGTAATCATTTAATCTTTGGATTTTGTTTTATTATGAATCTATTTAATTCCTGGAATGTCTCTTCTGTGTGAGCATAAAGTTAGTAATGCCATCGTGATATTATAAGCATCAAATGTCTATATAAATATTTGCAGTTCGAGATAGGAAGCCAAATAAACTGGCGGTATATACTATAATTACTTATCACGGATTGTATTTGTTTGGATGACAGCTTTACCGAGGCACCGACAAAAGCCGGTGGTTACTGTTTGCTCGATCGGTACTAACGTCAATTAGTGTGCACTAAATATGTGCGTGTACCGTAAAGATGCGAACACGTAGGCCTGGACTCTTCCTCACAATCAACGTTAAAAGACGTCTTTTACCTGAAGTCTTTCAATGGCTAAAAGAGGTTTTTGAACGCTAAAAGTGAGGTATCGGTACGAGTTTAAGGGAACGTACGGAAATTAATATGGTACAATGGCACGAGGATTCTTGGACGTCAATTGAGTTAGATTTTTATTAAACAATGTAACGGGGACAAATTTTAAACGGATACAGAATACAATTATGTGCACGTGTTTTTTTTCCGAATTATGTATCTGTATCTCGTACATATACCACCGACATCATTCGTTAGAAGCTACGTATTAGGTAATTCGTATCATTTAACGATAACGCCATATGTGGTAAGCTGCGTTGAGACGCAAGATATTATTTAATCTACGTTTACTTTGAACTCCGACACGGAACTGAGATTAAAACTGCACTGACCTGAACGCTCGCAAGATTAAGCAGATTATATTTAAATTCAATTTTTCATTTAATGTTCAAGCGCTGTGATATTTATTCCTAATCATAAAATATTTGGGAGTAATATGTGGAGGTGTTCAGGAATTTAATTATTGGTGGAGATTTAAATATAAAAAAAAAAAGACTAAGAGCAATGTAAGTCTTGAATCTCGATGAGATTATTCATCTTTCCTGCGTCACAGTCACATCTACATCGAAGTATTTCCTGAATGTTTGTTGGACTGCATTATGATTATTGCTTTTCTAATTGTGATTCACAGACCTTAAGGATTGCACCGATGAATACATTACGCGCTTCCTGCTGGCCCGGAAGTATCGCACGGAACAGGCAGCTGTTTTGATAGCAGCGTATCAGGCACAAGTTGCACATCGTCAGGATATTTTTGGAAATTTGACAGCTCGCGATCCAGCTATTCAACGTGCTCTTCGAGCTGGGATTCCTGGCGTTCTTCCTGCACGCGATAGGTAAAAAATTGCATGGTGCCATCGGTAACAATTTGTTAAGACTTTAAATGTCCTAAGGTGAATGATCGCGGAATGTGAATGACTCGTATTTATATCTATGATTTAATCTACATACTCGGTTGTATGTGTAGAATTGTCAATATACAAATTATCATCTATGTATATTTATCGTGTAACAGATTTCTGTATATTTTTTTATTGCATAAATCTAGGAAGGGTCGATGCGTACTTGTCGTTTTGGCATCCCAATGGGATCCAATCGCCGTTCCAGCTCTCTCCGTGCAACGAGCTATTTTTCTAGTACTCGAAATTCTTATTCAAGATCCTCGAAACCAGGTACGATCAACAACTATTAAGTAGGTCCAAGCAATATACACGTAAAACATAATAGCACGTCCACGCTTCCTAATTAGGATGCCGGCTACGTGGGGTGGATTTTAATTACATATTAGCACAAGGAAATGCTGTTTAAGGCAATAAGATGAGGCTGAGTGTGTTGACTCATACGGTTATTATTAATTACAAGGGATCATTTCATTCTCATCCGGCTGTGAATAAACATACATAAAGTATGATTACCTAAAGTATGCATATTTTACGTATGCTTATTGTATAAAGTATGCATAACGCTCTGTAAAATAATAATCCCTGTTGTTTTCCGCTGTTAATCGATTGATGTGCAACTAAAGAAATTTATTTGTTGTATGTAATCATTATTTAATAATTATTTGTTGTATGTCATCCCAGGGGTATTTTTGCTTTAATCTGCTTAAATTGCTAAAGTCCTGTTCTTATAATTTTTGTAGTGCTTTTGATTTTATTTTCATGAATTACCTTGATGTACATTATGATTTGAATTAAATTAAATTATTGTTTTCTATTTTTGATTTTATTTCAGCAATCTGGTTTCGTTGCCGTGGTTGATTGGGGTGGATTTTCACTGCGACAAGGTGGAGCCTTAGGAGCTGCGGCTTTGCGAAATCTGATAGCTGCTCTTCGTGGACGATTTCCAGCTAGATTTAAAGCTATTCACTTTTTGTCTGCTCCTCTTTACGTCCAAGCTACATTGGCTCTAGTTAAGCCTTTTCTCGATGAAAAAACTCGGAATAAAGTATGTACGATGTATGGAGTAAAGTTCTTGACTATAACTTCTTTACTTTTAAAAAGTTGCAATTATTAATTCAATTCTGAAAACTCATATCTAAATAACGAGAGAGCGTACACACGTTTATGTTGCAATATAAGATTTTAATTGGATAATTCACCCTCGCGTACGAATTTCTATACGACGTAGACAAATGTTAGTAAAAGATCCGGTCGTATTTGAAAGATTCTTTATATTTGAGGGATTTATCTGTCTCCTGTCTCTGCCAAAGAAATACCGTGTTCAATGAGGAAATTCTACTTTATTTTATTTACAGTCGTTTAGTATATTTTTTGTTTACTTCATCGCAAATATATTGCCTATTCTATTATAAAGAAAATGTACGTATTCAGCTAATTGAACAAAAAATGACAGATAGGGACACTAGACAGGTGTGAATGAGTACACGGATCATAATTTTTTGTAATAAAATTCTCTTATCTTATAGATATACCTTCACGGTAACAATCTGAGTACGCTACACCAACATCTGCCAACTGATATTCTCCCAGCGGAACTTGGTGGAACAGGACCGGCCTTTAATCCTGGACTTTGGGCAGAACCAGTTATTCATTCTGCGATGAAAGAGGCGGAATTGGCGGCCATAAAAAGGGAGCAGGAACGTGTGAACGTATCGTTGAAAGAATGCAATGCACTGAATAACTTCAATTCAACAGATAAAAATGGTAGCAGGGTAAGTTGCGAAAATCTGGCTAACGGGAAGGATTTAAAAAGAACAACAAATAGGACCAGTTTTTGCAATGAATTATATGGCAACGATCGCGTGCAACCGAGCACGTGCGATTTATCGTCAGATTTAAAAAATGCAATGAAAATTGACGAAGGATTCGAATGGAAAATGTTCGATCAAGGACGATTAGTAGAACTTAAAGACATGAGTTCAAGAAAAACTACCGAAGGAACTATTAAAAAGCCAAATTCTCATGAAAGTGAAGAGTCAAGTAGCAAGGACCAAACAGCGAATTCGGTTGATAATAAGGATGACTACAACATGCAGTTTCGGGAATATAAAGATGCAGAGGAAAGCGGTGAAATATTAAATAACATGAACAGTTTTACACGAAACATGGATCTCGAAGACACTGGATCACAATCCGAAACTAATTCGAACGAGTTCGAGATGATATCGAGTCATCCAGATAGCGAGGATACTAAAGATAACTCGTTGGAGATGAAGGCTGAAAAAGCAGTTGTGAGGTCAGGAAGAGCTGGCGGTATACTTCCCGAAGAAGCCAGTTTAATTATAAAGGGCCCCGGTGGAATTCAGTGTATTAATGTTCCAGACTGAGAGAGTAACTGTTTGAAATTTCAAACAAAACCTAACTTCAAAGAAAAGTGCACTGAAGAATCTATCATGGACCTTTAATGGATTCGTTGTGCAGAAGTAAATGAGCTGAAAGGACCAGTTACTTATTCTATGCCTCCGAAAATTGTAATAATCCGCAAAAGAACTGCAAAATAACTTGAATAATATTTTATTGTAAGGAAGTTCGAATATCCACTCAACTGAACAAAATGAGTTGATTTTTTTTATTAGATATTAGAATGGAAGAACGGCACCAACGGAATTGAATTATTGAGCTCTGTAGTAATTTTGTAAAACTGATGTGCCTTTTAATCTAAGACATTTCTTTTTATAAATTTTACAAAAATTTGTTTCATGACGAATTGCGCTTAAAGGGGTTATTCTTCTGCGGTGGACTTGAAAAGTTTGTTCTTTATGATTTCAATACAAAGAAAGCACTAATGTTACGTTCTTCATTTCGAAATTTCTGTCAGCACAGGTTCGAAGAATTATAAATAAATTATTTTACTTGAAAATATCCATACTTATGGAAATTATAAAGCCATATACATCCAGCGTATACACAGGTAGATGGTGGACACACGACAAGTCTTATTTGATGAATTGAGGCAGAAATAAACTATTTTTTCATTTATTCGAGACTAGTTTTTGTAATGTGACTGAGATTTTCGTCAAAATTTATCTTAAACTATTAAACATTATTCTTTCTGGTTCTTTTCCAAATTTCTTTGGACAAAACTATATTATAGTTTATATTTTTTAAACCAACAATACTAGTAATAAAATCGTGGTACATATACAAACTGCTGTATCTCTGAACGTATGTTCTGAATTTTACGTCAGTTTGTCAACTGCAGTCTTGTAAAAAACTAGTGTTTGGAAAAACAATATACACAATGTTACAGAGAGTGATACGTAAAAGTTCGATTACAAAAGCCGAACTTGTTAAAAATAACAGAATGGACACGTTTCTTCGTATATTGCAAACAGTATAAGTTTGAAAGCATTTTAGGTACACATATATGCTTTTAAAATGCTTTTAGCCATATGATACTTCCTGTGCATACATTCTAAAGATCTAAACTATCTTTAAAGCAAACCGATTTTTTCTTTTACAATTGAGTAACCCCTTAAACAAATACGTGCAAGCGGCAGTGTGGTGTTGTTTTGAAGTGATATAACGTTTAATTTATGGGCAGACTTTTCATTTCCAGTAATCTCGCTGATATTCTCAATAATCTTTTCTTTTCATTTCCAATAATCTCGCTGATGTTAAGGTTTTTGCAGGACAGGTGTTACAAAGTTTTTTGTATTATAAGTTCTAGTTCTAGAAGCACGAGCTAATTTATTAAATAAACATAATGTCGGGAAGAATAAGTTTTTAAAATATACCTCTACATTTTTTTAAATTTTATACAAAAAATTGTATACCGTTTGAACTGAAAATATATTTTGCACTACGAACGTAAAATGCATTCTATACTTATTTATGCATTTCAATACTGATATTTCTTAAGCAATGTTATATAACTGACATACTAGTCGCTAAACCGAAAATCAGGAAACCGCGCATAATTTTGTCTACAAAGTCAAGGATTTCTGTTCTCGTACCTACAGGAGTCAAGCCGACAATCATTAGTCTAACTAATTATTATTAGAAAAAGGCGTGAATGTAAAACAAATCAAGTCTTTATTGAAATAATATGATTATTCATTTATTCTGTACATAATAAAATATGTATATCGCTTTACTGCCATTACAAAAGTTAAACAGCACTGAACTTATACAACTAGACATTATGCAACTATAGCACCCCATTTCTTCTTGATTTCATATTAAAATAGAAAATTCTGTACGAAAATCTGTGAGGTATATAAAAGTAGAAATCTATGGTATAGAATATGTCAATACGTTTGTTGGATGAATGCATCGAACAGGTGTACTCAAATGTTTCAAGACATATGGAACGATCTTCACCGCGTCGGTGATCAGTTGCCAATACGGCGCAATGACCGTATATAATGCAATGACTCAAAACGTATGCATTGTAAAGTAACGCGCACATCGTGCATTTGGTCGCTTGGACCCTGTGTCATTGCAACAAATGGACGAACACACACGACGAGCAGTTTATGGATCAACAATCGTACTCGAAAAAAAAAACAGCTCTGTATCCTTACTCATTAATGTAAAAAAATAATTTATCTTATAAGTTCATACCTGCCATGTGTAAATACATGAAGTGTATGGACTAAGAATTATAATTTAAGACTAAACCTACCACCGACGGGTCAAATTGACCGTTTTAAATGGTTTTCGTAATGGGGTTATAAATCGTCGGTAGGTTTAGTGTTAAACTGAATTCACAAATTTTATGAAAACGGTAAATAATGAGTTTTGTAATTCATTCTTTAGCCATTACAAGAATAGATTTATGGCCTTAGCTGTAATGTACAACCGCATTCAATGCTAGCACACATGGTGACATTAATACTTCTTGTTGATTTACGTATAAAATTGCATGTTGTACATTGGCATTACTCACAGCTGTATTTCCCTTGGACTGAATAATTATGAAGCCATGGTTTGGTAAGTTTCCGGCTTTGCATGAGCATGTGAATTAAATTATTGTCAAATACGTTAAGTTATGCTATAATTGGCGGAGGTACCCAGCCTCCGAAGCCTCGTTCTAGCTCTTCGGCAACGGCAAGTGTTAGGCGATCTTGGTATAGGCCACCAATAACCTGTAAAATAATAGATAAAAAGGTATTAAATCTGATTGTATTTCTATTACTGGAAATCCATTTGTATGTAGATGTTCATTTGAATTTTTGAAAATTCGTTTTTAATTACCTGTATACCAATTGGGAGACCATGTTTATTGAGACCAAGTGGACACGCGGTAGCGGGAAACCCAAAAACATTCATAATTGCTGTGTAGGAGAAATTGAAGGGTTTTATGAGTGGCTCGTGATGTATCGGAGCTGCTGTCGGATGAGTTGGATATAAAAACACTCCATCATCTCTTAATAAATCCTACAATAAGACAATAACAGGCTCTCTTTAGAATAAAAAAATCGTTATTAATGCATTTAAGAAACGCACCTTAAATTCCTGACACAGATCTTTACTTTCTTGCATAAGCTTCTCATATTGTGGAGAACCACGTTTTACACCAAATCCTTCAAAGATGGCAGTCAAAAGAGCAATGAGTGTATGTGAACTTAAACAACAGCACCATTTTAGGAATTCCCACCATACATTTAATTTTCCATTTCTATTTGCCAATTCATATGCAAAACTTTTTCCTTCATCTGGACTCATGTTCACTAGCCACAATGCTGTACTTTTTTTCAATTTTCTGAAATTTACTTTGGTTACCTTCACTTTGTGCGCTTTTTCTAAATAAAGTACCACTTGCTTCATTGCACTTTTTATTTCATGATCCACTGGTGACACGGCGTATTGACCTCCATCATCTTCCATATAGTAAAACTAAAAAAATAACGATTCTTCCTTATGTGAACAGTTTCAGACGTTCTGAAGTAAATATAATCTTGATATGTAGTTGCTTGCACGCATTATAAATATAGGAAATAAGTAACTTGGGTATATACAATTCGCATACAGATTTGTAAGCACGTGATTGTACATCCTTATCACCAGCCGGTTATTAACCCTTTAACTACGGCGGAGTCGACGTGGAAATGTACCACCTGTACGGATTGCTCGACCGTGGAATGTTAATATTTTATATGAATACGATAATCATGTCTTTTTGAATATATGGGAATGAAGGGTGCCACTACAATGGCGCTTCGTAAAAAAACGTCGGTCATGCGGAAGCCACTATAGTGGCGTTTCGTAATTAAAGGGTTGAAATTCATATACATTCGGAAAAACTTACCATGATTTTCGAAATATCAACTTTGTCATCAAGCTTGAGGGTTTCAGCTTTTCCACTTGCAAGTACTTTAAGTAGTGGTAACATATCTTGTGCATATCGACACATAGGACCGATTCCAAGTAATTCATTTTGTTCGTCGTTATGAGGACTTGGATACTGTCCATTATTTGAAACGATTCCTGTAGAAATAGTACTTTTTAATGCTTGAAATAAGTGTACTTAATTATAATAAATAAGTGCTTTTCAATACAAATAATTTAAAAAAAATAGATCCGTTTCACTCGTCTAGGTAAACTACAAACCTTTAGAAGGTTTATGTCCAAAAATACCGTTAAAAAAACAAGGCATACGTATAGAACCTCCAATATCCGAACCAATACCGAAGGGAGCTCCGGCTGCTGCTTGTAAGCATCCTTCTCCTCCCGAAGAGCCCCCTACAATGTGTCTGCGGTGGAATAAATTATCTAAATGCAAGGTAAATCTATTTCTTGGATTTATTTTAGAAGATTTATATTGGCATAAAGTACTTTATATATTCCAAACTATACCTTGTATTATATGGATTTTTCGTTGTTCCATATAAACAGTTACTGCTTTCCCACCACATTGCTACTTCGGAGATATTCGTCGTTGCAATAGGTATGGCGCCTGCAGCTCTCAATAATCGTACACTTTCCGCATCTTTGTCAGATATCAAATTCTTTCGTATGACGAGTCCTGCCGTCTGTTTCATCCCATTGATGCTGATGCAGTCCTAAAATGTTAAACGCTTTGGTAGAAATTAAAAAATTCAGTAACAACATGATTAACTATCACCACGATAATTTTAGACATAAAATTGTTACTCCTATTCTTTGGAAAAGATGCAGGATCAATTTTTAGAAATACGTGCATATAATAATTAAAGTATGCTATCAATTTAAATTGGCATTAAAGGATGGAATCTATGGATTATTGTACCTAAATGGCAAATCTGAAATGCACCTTTGTTGTAAATGGCACTCCAAAAAATGGCTTTTCTTCGGCCAACCATTGAACGGAAGGTGCATCTGGGGAATTCAATATTTCGTCGCATTTTTTAGCTTCTTCGAGAGCGTCTTTAAAGCGATCTTCGACGACGCAATTTAAAATTGGTTGAATTTCATTGATCCTGTCAATATAACGTTTCACCACGTCTTCGGATCTTAACTAGAAATAATATTATTTTTAGTAATGCATCCGATCAAGTTATTATTTAATACGTCTTACATGTTTCGTCATTGGCATGTCGTAATACAGAGATGACATTGAGAATTCTTTTACATACTTGTTTGTTGCGTATCTTGATAGCCAGGGCGGTAGCACTGTTTAAGAGAGTTAGGTCTTTAATAGGCGGTTGCGATTCTGCCGGTCCACTGAAAAATGCCACCAAAAGAAACAGTCCTCTAGCAATTAGTTCTATTATCCGATGGATCACATTTACAATCAGGCCCAAAATTCGCATCTTATTTTGATCGCCGTTAATTCGAATGGACATTGACCTGTAAAAAAAAAACAGAACAGATGTATTAGCATGGAATACGCCTGACAATGAACAGAAATCCTTACTTCAGTATATATTAATAATCACATAATGTATTTCAAATCATTTATTATTAAAAGATATCGTATTGCTTTCACATTAGGTCCATGTGTAATTTATAACATTTCATTTATGTTCGGAACGGCTTCAAGTTGACTGTGGAAACGATAATTTTTTTGTAATTAAAGTTCGTTTGCTACCATTTGGTTACCTGTTCCCTTCTATAGTGGTGAGAATGGGGTCATCATTAAAGTAATGATTGGGGACTACTGTTAATTCAATTGTATTCTTAAAAATCCTGAGCATATGTAAATAGCGTACCCTTTTAAAACGTTAGAACATTTGAGTTATTTGCCTTTACCACAAAAACGTTTCACGTCAATAACTAATAATTAATGCAACATCGTTTAATATCCAATCTGATAAAAACAATCGAAGTACTTATTATTCTATCTTTTTCCACGTTGCAGGATTAAGTCAATGAATCCGCAATGTTTATTCATCAACTACCGTGCAGCCCGAGGTCATATCAGCAATAAATCTTATAAATGAATAAGCCAAATGCGGATCACATGACCGTTATTTCAAAGATGGCGACCGCTCAGTTAAGTTGGCTCAAATATTTTCCATGTTTTTACAGGCGGTAAAACTTGTCATTACTTTTCTGCGCTTTGACCATTTCGTGAACCTTCATCCAGCGGTTTTGCCATTACATAAATGGTTTTTCCTTCGACGAGGTGGCGTAGCAAATTAGCGAATATGAACCGTCCTCTCTTCCCGGTATTTCGTCCTCAACTAGGCCTTGATACAAATTTCAATCCAGCATTTACCGGTATCGTTTGACTTCAGGAGATTAGTAGAATCACCGTGCATGTAACCCGAAGTACTGGTCGAATAATTTAGCGGTTTTTACGGTAATTTACGCTAGACTAAGAAGGCTGCCAATTAGTCCTGCATCGATTCTTCAATCTGTGATATTCAAATTTGAGAAGTATCGAAAACGGCCCAAATTCTCGTGGCCAATAAGAATTTATACCGATTGCTTTCTGTCTGCCGTCAGGTGATTCTCTTTGTATAAATTTAAAACAGGTCAGGTTCTGCAGGGACGTCATTGCTTACGTTAAACCTGTCAGAGAGAAATCTCTAGGGGGTCGAAGAGGTACTTACTTACCTACTGACCGCCTGAGTTCACTTGCGTGACGCGCTCCGCGATTACTCACGAGACTTTTATTATCGACTTTGCGTAATTTAGAGTTTCAATTATCGAGATGATGTAGACATTAGAAAAGATATATTTACAATCGGGATACTTCTCATTTGGTTACGTTTATACGGGCTCGTCAGGTGCATTGTTTATTAACCGTCTATACATGTTCAGAAATATCATCTACTTTTTTGCGTCACGTTTAACCGCAGGAAAAAAAGCCGCTACAATTTAAAGAAATTACTGAACGAAGGCCGGGCAACTCCGCGTAGAATATCAGGACACGCGATAACGTCGCAGATGAGTTCCTGCCCGTTTTCCACCGATCGTAATATACCAAAAACGTTGCGGAAATATTAATCCCTTGGCTGCTAACAGCGCCTAAAGGCGTCCAACGTTTGGTCCAGTATTGCCTGCACGGTTTGACGAATTTCGCCCATATGTCGAAAGAGCTCCGCAGTTAAAGGATTAATACGTTAAAAATCTAAACACACTTTTCAACTTTATGGCCTGACTTGATAAACACGTGTTACAGGCGATACTTTCGAATTGGTCTTACTTACTGCTGCCTATCAACTCCATAGTGGGAATTAAATTTGTCTCTCTTTCTTGGAAAGAATTTTAATCAAGACGGTCCGATTGAAAGTCCCACATCCCCATAGGTGTACCGTTCATACTTGCAGAAAAAAAAGGTATGTGTCGTTTTTGAAATACTCTCACCTGGACTTCTGCGTCCTGCCGAACAGCTTTATTATCCGCGATGCTCGATGGAAGATCCCCAGGTTGGGTATCTGCGAGGATCCGCAAATTCGTTTAGCAATTTGCGCGCCTTCGGCACTTTTTCTTTTCTCCCTCTTCCCTTCTTTCTTCTTTACCCTGCTCTTTTCCTCTTCGGTACGCCCGAGGTATTTCGGCGTTGTGTCTTTGGAGAGCTGGAGTGACAGCCTACACCTGACAGCGCTATCGAATTTTACGAGTTGATAACGCGACCGGGTAGCCGCCGCTCTACACGGTCATCGAGCGGGCATCGAGTTACTGGGACTGCGACTCGACGGCCGAGCTCGGCTTCGCTCATTGTGCTCGTCATCACTATAGCGAAGTCGGCTCGCTACTATAGTCAGTCGGTGACAGAGTCGCTCTTGGAGTAGGCGCGTCCACGATTTTACAATTAGATAGCGACGCGGCCGAGAGTCGGCCAGCCGGCGAGTCGCGTTCGAAAACATTCCGAGGATCCCAGAATTATTCGAATGCCAGCGAACGACCGCTTGCTCAGCTGAATTATGTTAAGTTATGTTCTGCCTGGTTACAAGCCTGTTATATTATAAGCCAAGCTACAAAAGGTGACGTTGGAGTACGTTCTCAAGGTTATGTTCGAAACTGACGGTTTACCGGTTGATGATATCGACATTGAAGTTTCTTCCGATTTTTGCGAGGTTCCTATTTTTTTAATTCATTGAAATTTTATAACTTGCACATGCGAGCTAGAGTGAACATTTGTTGATTGAAAATTTTGAGTCCAGTTGGAGATTTGGCGATAAAATTAAGTTTTTAGTCCATGTAACGTTTGAAGTAAAACAAAATGGCGGCACCGTATGTTAAATCGAATGGTTCCATTGGATCAGGTATTTACGCGAAAGAGTTTGAAATTAAATTCGAAAACTAAGTGGAACTAAATACATCGGCTATTTCACGCGAGAACGGATCAATTTTGAAATAACCTGCCTGGAAGTATTTCTTTTTTTTTCTGAATCAGCTTGATAACGATTACTTAATTAAACAATCAATAAAAATGCATAATTTATTACATAGTTTACTATACACATGGAGAAACAAAATTACGCCATGCCTAACTATATTTGCTATTCTAATTTATTATTTTAAATTGCCTCGTTTGTATTCAGTTACTATAGAGAGTAGTGGGGTAAGAGTTATTAATAGTTCATGCAAATATTTTTGCAGAGCATGCAAGTTGTTGACACGTTTTATCAACACTTAATTAATATATTTCTTGGTGCAGAAAGTCAATGGTACACCTTAAATGTAAAATTCAGTTTTGTATGCAAATTAAATATATCATTCGATATTGGAGTAATTTTTGTCCAATTGAAAAAGTTTGCGATTTAAAAGCATGACTTGTAGTAAATTTTTCGGCTAAAACGTTTAAGTTGTATAAATGAGCAAACGCATTTATTTTTGTGGAGCAAGTTCCGTATGACATGCATGATGCAGCAGGCTGTTATTTATATTTATAAGTACAGATTCAGCGGTGGTTGCAGAACGATAGACGCGATTTGTATTGAAAAGTGTACTTAAATCAGGTCTATGTTTTGCAATACCCTATATGCTGGGGGGGGGGGGAGGGTTATTTCACATACCGCATAAAATAACACATTAGCTTCTGGGCTTGCATTTCATATCTAATGAATAATGAAATTCAAGTTTTGTTAGAAGTTCTGAAACTCATTTACATAAAAGGAATGCGGTGATGATAAGAGACACCGTGTATGTATTATGATAACTTAAATAAAAATAAACGATTTTCACACAATACATGTTTGTCTTAGGTCACGCTCTTTTATCGATAAAGCGACAAAAATGGAGCTTCAGGAATATTTCTCGGTGTTCTAAATGTTAATTGGAAATATAAAAATTTGTATTAGTTTTTCCTTTCATCGGCATAAATACTTGGTTGTATTTAGCGTGAAAGTCTGGATTGTTTTAATTTATTGAGACAGCGTAATTAACGCGTACAAATTGATTTAGGGAAGTAATCCAATTTGATCAATTAATAAGTTCAATTATATGACGCGTAGGTAGAAAAAGTCTGTTGAAGGTCATCTATTCTAGTCAATTCAATGGAGTACTATTTCACTAAAGAGCTACGGATCTAGTCTACGTGTAGTCATTGCTCTGAAGTTGTCCACCCGAGCGGCGAGCGCAAGACGCAAGTCTGTACTGAAACCGCGCGGGTGTCACTTTGCAATAATTTGTCCACGATTGTTCCACAAAGGGAAGCTCAATTCTGTTTGTGACTTGATTCCTACCTCATCACGGTCAAGTCCAACCACTTGCTTTGTCGGTAAGGACGAATACGTGAACTCTATGACTCGGATGCCCAGAGATCTCGGGAGCACTTTGAGGTTAGCTTCGAGAATGGTAGCTGGATCAGAAAGTCGGAGCTGTTCGGAGCTCGTCAATTTATCAGCGGTATCGCTTGAAACTGCATTCGGTGACACTTTATCGCGTTTCTTAAAAACATATTAATGTTAGTAATTTTTTGAAAGTCCATAAAAAAGGTATGAACAAATCATGTTCGAATATGGAATACGTTCACGCATTCAAGACATTTCCCAATGGTTTCTTGTATCATTTTAATTTTAAGGTTTTTAATTTGGTGTTTTTGAATTATCACAGAATTAAGGTTTGGAATATCAATATGTTGAATTACAAAGCAAGATATTTACCTAGTAAATGTTGTTGAGATGTAACACCCGCTGATTTTCCGTAAATTTTCGGTACTGTTGTCGTTTTACTGCCGTGGCATGACAAAACGGAAATAACGAAAGTAGAAATGAACGTGAAACATTGAATTTCTCTTTTCACCACTCTATCGAGTTCGATGAAATTGCGCCAGATGTCGCTTGCACTTCCACGGAGCGATGCTGTCATCTTGTGGAGGGAAATGGTAGAATTTACCCTACGTTGCGCGCGTGATTTAAATTCTTTTTACGACATGTACCTCGTAGGACTTTATGATGCACGATATAAACGTTTTTTTAAAGAAAGTAAATGATTGTTTCTCATGTCTTGGAATGTGTGGTATCCATTATGATATATCTTATTACCTGATATAAATACATAGTATTTTGGTATTACCATTTTATAACTTTACTGTTAGTAAAGGTTTGGTATAATATAACTGAAAAGCTCAAACGTCATGTCGAACATCTTACGGCTTTAACGATTAATTGCTTCTTTAAGAGCGATATTGGATCGTAACAGTAATGTCTGGCTTGACCTAAATTTATCAGTTGCTCGTAAAATATCCCGTTGAGTACAGATAGAAAGGTCAAGAGGTTATATCGATCAATGCCTGTGACGCATCGTTCTTATTCTTCTTGTTCTATAAATACTTTTCGACCATTTTCACGATATGTATCCGTTAAGATTATTCCATTATTCTCCATACTAAAATAACGACTTTTTCTATACATCTTACTCTAATATGTAATCATTAATTCAATATGAATCTTGAATTTTACGAAACATTGACACATTGAGTGACATGCTAGTCCATGTAATTGAAAAAACGTAGGAGAAAAAAATTAAATTCGGCAAATGTACTAATATAAGTAAATTAACATTGACTGATGGTAGAACGTTATCTTTCATAAAACCATAAAGCATGATCTATGTATAATATATTAATAATAGCAAATTACGGTATACAATTCAGAATAAAATAATAAAATCAAGAAAAATATTCGAAGCTGCTGATATTGTTTGAGATGAATTGCAATCAAGGATCAATACGAAATAGCTTTTATCTCGACTTCGCATCGGAGCCAAGGAAGCGCTTGTACGGCCGTTTATTCCCAATCAGTCTTTGATCAATATATAGATCATTGATTAGAATTTTCGAAATTCGATTTTGGATTCCACACCTCCGAAAACCTCCGAGTACAAAAAATTAGCCCCAAGATCTACCGGCAACTAACCCATCCGGGGCCGAATACACGCACGCACGAAAAATTCCCGATTAGTATAGTTGATGTACGTAATAAAGAATCCGGTTTACATTTGCAGGTACTCTTGGAGGATCTATGAAAATCTGTTGACATCGAAATGAAAGCGACTGACTCCAGTCGCGATAAATCGCGACGACCGAATTCTCGGGAGTTCGATAATTCCACAAGCAAGACCGAAGCTATGGATCTTCAAGAAAGGATGAAAAAAGTTGAAGTAAAATCTTCATCATTGCCGACGACTTTGTTAGCAAGAAATGCCGTTCTACTGCCGAGTGGAGTGATTAGGGTAAAACAACTTGGGAACGTTGCAACCAATTATGCAGTGGGAGCTTCCACTTCATCGGCTTCTTCTGGTTCCGCTACCGGTATTTAAATTCTTTCATTTTCTTTTTCTTTATCATTACTCTTGCAGGTTGTAATACAAAGTCTTACTTAGTACAGATATCGGGTACAGAAATAAAGATATCTGGCAATCGATAATACACATGCACATGCACATGCACATGCACATACGCGCACGCGCATTTAGTTTATTACATCAGCAGTCGATTGTCCGCCTTTTAATGAAAAAGCGTTCAATGGTACTTGTGAGGGGTTTTCATCACGGCGTTAATAATTTTATGCTGGGTGGAAAGAACGTTTAATAAAAATAGTGAAATTGTAATGATATTTGAGTAGGTTGCAAGATTGTGCTCGAAACAGGCTGTAGAAGATATAAATGACATGGCTAAATCGTGGAAAAATAATGATTTGTTTTAATTATAGCCCTGAACGGAATAAGAATTAAATTATCTAAAAGAACGTACAGTGATTTCATAGAAACAGTTGTCACTTCCTTTTTCTCAATTTTCGTATTCTCTTTGAGAGTTGAGGCGTGTACATTTCAAAAGGGGGCTGTCTGAGCAAGTTATCGAACCTGTTGAATCCGTTTGGAGGCAACAAGTAGTCTCGTACTCGCAACGACCTACCCATTTAACCTTATCGGTCGAATAAAACTTGTTAAAAACTTTCCCAGCTGTTCCGCGTCAAAAGAGTGCAATTGGGGCGACATGAACTCTGTGTGTATTAACGTAAAATAACATGAGAAAGAATGTCGAACAATCTGAAGTATTTTACCCTGAAACGTCGAGGCCATTGAAGCTTCAACGCGTTGATCGATCCGCTGTAATTATAGTTTTGTTCACTGTCAAGCAGTTCGTGTCCTCGTGGATGGTAAGAATATGTCTTCGTGAATTCCGGAGACTTCATCGCAAACGACCTAATTGCTATAAACGTTTCCAATAGAGTCACACAAGCAGAGGAAATCGAGCTGTACATCCCATTGCCGAGTCATTTCCTGTGGTCTTTCCTATTGAGGCGTCAAGGATAACACCTTGACAAAATTAAGCGATCCGAAATAGGTTTTGTAAAAATAATGATTGGAGTACTCTTTAAGGAATTTTTTCTAAAAATGTTTGCAAAGTTTAATATTTATTAAATTCAGTGTCTTCTTGCACATAGATTAAACCTTTTAATATGGCAATCCAATCTTCTGCCAATTACGAGAAAGTATTCTGCAGATAAAAACGTTTTCCACTGCATTCAAGGTATTTAAATCTTTTTTATGTATATAATTAACTATTAACAGTTTTAGCCATTTTTCAACAATGAATATAAACTATTGATAGATGTAAATTGATTTCGTTTTCATACCCATTTCATTGTAATTGAAACGATCATTTAGAAGATTATTAAATCCGTTGTGTTGAAACTGTGGTATTGTTTATCATTTGTCAGACTGATGGGTTTCTTTCTTGCAGTGTTTAAAAAATATTTGTTTCAACCGAGGAGTACTCTCAAGTTGTATGTAATGAATTAACAGAATTTCGTTTTTTTCCATAAAGAAGTTTTTACAGCTATTTTATCCTATTTCGAACGAATTATCATTTAACGCAAAGTATTCTTAAGTTCATTTCTCGATCTGGTACCTGTTTGCCAGATAATGCATATATTATTAATACATATAGGTATTTTCGTTACGCTCTATATACATTCACTAGGTTCGTAGTTCCTTCTCGTCAAATATTTAAAAATGCCAGAGTTTTGGATAGAATTCGTTTAATTATAGGGTGCATGTTGTACGGCTGGATGGAATGGCGTGTCATCCATTTCCAGAATTCATTACCGAAGTAGGACTCGATCCGTTCTCCGTTCGATCGATACGCAATCCTTCCGTGCTTGGAAACCGTAGACCATCGTGGCTGATTGGATGTCATTGACGTCACATCGAAAAAGCTCTGGACTTCTGTCGAGGTCATTTGAATATTCCGGAACCCGTGGATCCTGGGGAAACGGGAACGAAGTTCTATTTTATTCACTAATCCTATATATAATTTTTCTACTTATATTGACGCGTCTACATATGTGTTTAATAACATGTACGAATTTGTCGTGACGGCACACCGAATTTCATGCTGACTACAAACAGGTTCTTTCCGCAATGTCCACAACTCGTCTCGTTACGAATCCTGTGCTCAGTTTACCAATCGCAGGGCTTAGTTTATCAATCGATATTCGTATCCGTGTACATAAGTATAGGTTAAACGTTTTTCTTAAAATCAAGGTTCTGGTTCATCGAGCGCCGGAATATGCTTCGGTGATGTGTCCTACCTTTCTGTTACCGATGTATCGAATATAGGATTCTACTAGTTCGGTTTCAAGATCAACCCAAATTCCTATCTTCCGGTCTTGTTGACCGCTCAGCTGCCGAAGACTACAAGTCGAGTTGTTCCTGCGTGGTGCTGGGCTTCCGGACCAGCGGCTTATATATTGATTTATCTGTCTCAGGGTTGAATTCAGCCGCGTGCTTTGGAGCGCAGTTCCTTGCGAACCTCCGACGTGGAACCAGCTTCCCGCTCAGGAACTGGGGCCTCGTGTTCCACGGTTGACTCCTTGGAAACGGAAGTTACTCGGTGGCCGAATTCCCCATGAGTTTGCAGAGCATTTTAGTAGCGCTCAGCATGAGCCTCGAGATAGCTAACCTAGAGCAGGCAATATATTTTTCAACGGTTATTTGTCAGGTGTCGATTTGGTGAATGGCATCGATTTGGCGGAAATATTTGTTCGATGCGAAGAGCGTTGAGTTGAAAGCCAATCGTGAGGATTGATCGAGCTGGGGCGAAAGAGTGTCTGGGCAAATATTTGGACGGTGATTCAGACGGAAGCAAATGACGCTCGAGACGCTTGACCCAGACATTATAGCTATGCTGTCAGATAAAAATCGCTATCTTCCGTTTAATTTATTGTCAAAAGTGATAGCGGATGTGTAAAGAGTATTGTAAATCGTTGACATCAGCGGGGACTGTGAAACAAGTTTTTGGAGAATTTACAAAGGGTTTTGACTCCATGGACTCATTTGGGTGTAGCAAATATCGTTCAACCCATTTCTATTTATAAATGGAAAATGCTTCCACCGCTCAATATCTCCGGAAGCAGTTTAACCTCGGAGTGCAAATTTCTGAGCATTTATGCTAAATGAGATGACCTCGTTGACTTGCAGAAAAATGCAAATATTTTTAATATATTTGGCATGTATAATAGGTTTTAAAAGTTGAGACTTAGAACCGACGTCCGATAACTTCAAAAATAGAATTTATCGTTCTATCATTCTTTCATGATAGTACAGAATTCTCAGGAGAAGGACGTGTGTCGCTCAGATTATTCAAACTGATCGATATTATGTGTTTCGACTGTACCGTTTAACAACAAATTGGTTCAAACCAGGGCCGTCAATGTCTGAGAAATGCCCGATCACATTTTGAGAACGATGAAGAGTTGGAAAAAAACTCTAAAGATATATATCTTCAATTTTAATTGAAAGAGATCAAAAACAATGTTTCCGATTTCGTGAACAGTTTTCTGAGAGAATCACGATGCCTTTGAAAGGAAAGAGCATACGTCGATCTGACGTTATCACCTGGCACGAATTATGTTTACGAGGCAACGCACACTTTGACTCGCCACGGCGATTTCGGAACTTATCTTAGTACGACATTGTTCTCGTTCGGTCGGTGATTTTACGAGAAACAAATGAAAGTCAGGAAGTGTGGAAAATGTCACGCAGCAATGTCGCATGATAATTTTTCTTCATTCGTCAGAGTCCGTCGCGATGCTGCACATGCGTTTACTTTTTTACGTGATGTGTGACTAAAAGATTAGCAAGTTTTCTGAGAATTTCGACGTTTTCGAGAAATATTCGCATTTTTTCTTCCGTCAATTGGAGTTAATAAATCGAACGCTCGAAGGGGACTTCCGCACGTCGACTTTCCATTTACTCTCCGACTTCTACTCAATTTTCACGGCATCTCGTCATAGACGGATTCTTCCTGTAACAGGACGATCGTATTCTAAAATATGTAAATGCATTCATTTCCATCTTCGAAGATCCATTGAATGTTAGGAGCATATCACTCCGCCGAGCACATCTTGATATTGCGCGGTGATTTGAAATATTTGCAGACGCGTGAGATGAACATTTATAATAGTTATCAGAAGAGATTTATTCGCAGTAGACGAAGAATTGCTCGTCTTGCACAGAAATTGCAATAATTGCAGTACACCGTTACGGCTTTAATCTACCAATTACAAAACTGCCTCTTATCGGTGTTCAACAAACGACGAACTTTTTTAACATCGTTTAATCGTGACGACTTTCTAAGTTTCTACAAAGTGAGCCTAAGAACCGATTTTCGGAAGCTGATAAACATATATTGATAAGGAAGAATATTTTCTAAAGAAAGTAAAAGTACATAATTTCTACAACTGGGTCCAAAAGCAAAGTACATGAAAACAAGTATACGATAAATGGGTTTACGTTGTAAAGTGGCAGAAAGTATTTATTCCATGACTCATCCAGCACGAGTATTCGTTTGCATTTAGATATCATTGGTAGAACTTGAGAAATCGAAGATTTTACTCCTGATTAGAGGAGAGAACTTGCAATGCGAGCACGTATTTAAAAACATCGATTTATCCGTATTTTATATCATGCCTCGAACATGGTCGTTATGTTGTGGTGCACCATCGATATCTGTAATGAACGACGAAGAGTCTGCACGAGACATGGGCCTACGGGTTGTGGAGGGTTAGTGACATTGTTTTGTTAAATTATTCATATTTAAATCGCTCGATGTACGCGTATACAAACTATTCCCAAAAAAGTAAGGTAAAGTACATCGGGTTTGTTTGCAACATTATCAATTCCAATTATAATAGCACATGACGTGAAAATATATGAAAATGATACTCGGAGCATCATTTATATTTTATAAACATTGTATGTTTTATAAATACTTTGGACATTGTTGGACATTTAAATATAAAATCTTATTATTTTCAAAAATCTAAAGTACGTAATGTATCATTAATGTTTTGCAGAAATTCACTAACGTATTGTAACATGTTTGCGTGACCCTTCGTCTAATGTATTTGCTATTTTATAAGTTCTCACGTTACATTCAGTTTCGTACTCGCGTGATCCTTGACTTGAGAAGTAAACATGATCGTGGGATGAACTTGGGGCAAATAGTATTATTATAGGTTAATTTCGTTGGTAAACCCTGTGGCATCAGTTATTTATATACATTTTAACATTAATAATGTCAAACCAGCGCGGAGCGAGTGTAGTACCGATGAGTTCACGCTTTAATAGGCACACGGTTTAACGTTCATTGCGCAAATATACCTACTTACATTTTCATTTCACATGACGCCAATATGCCAAGGCTGTTTGCAATGTAACTTTAAGTCGTATTATCCTGAGTTGGTTTCGATCGTGAGTGGGTTTTTTGGAAAATGAAGTTTACTGTTATACTTTATCACCGAGTGAATTCTTGAAGTTTGGTATCTAGAAGAAATGTACTATTAAAAGGAAACTTTTTCAAAGGAAATTTCGAACTTCTAGTTTGAAAAGAGTTCTAATTGTAATTTATTTTTGTTGCCGTGGATTTAATTTGGCCAGAAAATTTGAGATAGTTTATTAATTTATTGTTTACCTTAAGGAATGAAGAATAATCCTGTATATTTGTTGTAGGTAATCCCCGCAACAAGACTGCTTTGGCCCCTGGGCACAGTTTGATGGATTGGATCCGGTTGGGTTCCTCAGGGGTCGATTTAACAGGAGTTGGCGGAATTCCACGAGTGGTCACTTCGGCTGAACTTGCTAAACACAACAAGCGGGACGATGCCTGGATTGCCATTCGAGGTTTACATTTATAGTTACCTACAAAATCCACGTAATTTCAAACATTCTTTTTAATATCATTCAGTGAACGATTAGTTCACGGAAGTAATCTCTCGAATTTAGATGTTGTCCTTTGAGTGCAAAAAGGAAGCAATATGTGAGATCTGTATTTTCATCTTTAGGTATTGTGTACAACGTTACCCGGTACTTGGATTTCCATCCAGGTGGGGTTGACGAGTTGATGAAAGGTGTCGGCACGGATGGGACCAAATTGTTCGACAATGTAAGAAAACCTGTACAAATTTAGCTTCGTAAAAGGAAACCTCGGTTGACGATCGATTTGATGTCATCTTGTACCCGTAGATGATTAATTGCAGGTGCATGCGTGGGTTAACTATCAGAGCATACTTCAAAAGTGTGTCGTGGGTCGGATGAGCAGAATTTCCCTGGGAAATACGGAAAAGATTGCGTCTGGAGAATCCAACGATCCGTCGAGTACATCTTCTGGTTCATTAACCAATAAGAGCAGTAAGCATTTCGGTTTGTCATGTAATGTGTTTAGTTGCTAAGAGCATATCCATCAATAATTATTACGACCGCCATTAAATCACATTGGTATTTCTAGAGCAAAATATTGGAGAAACTGCATTGCAAGAGCAGACAGCCCCCCAAACCAAAATGGATTGGATGCAAACTACCAATACGATTACATTTTCTTTTCGTACTTCGTGTAACCAAAATGCCGTGGGTTATAAATTGCTACGAACCAGTGATTTAAAGTTTACTTTAAAAATCGTTGTTGGGAAAGACGTCATAGTTTACGAGCTTGAATTGGCCGCGGACGTGAAGTGGCCTCCAAGATGGAGAAAGAATCCTGATATTACAGAGGTACAATCTTTTGGACGTGTGTAAAAGTACAGTAGGTAGGTTATATTAAATAACGTATATGTATCGTTGTAAATATGTTGACTTTATTTTTAGATAGAGTTCACATTCACAAAGCAAAAAGGTGAACTATGGAAAACGCATGGCGCCGAGATGCAGTCTCACGAAATGGAAAGCAATACCCGACAGTACAGAGACTATGAAGTTGTCAGCAATACTCCGCTTTGTAAAGTAGTTTATCTTATAGTTTTGCGCGCTAAAGACTATGTAGAATTGGTACCTGTCGGTAGACACATAGAAGCTAAGATGAACGTGATGGGTAAGATTCGATTTTGTCCTAACTTCATTTAACAAATTAACTTAACCGAATTGCGTAAATAACACATATTTACACCTTACATAAGAGGATTCTACGAATTATACGGATTAAATATGCACGAGTTAATGCATTTAATTTTTTTCTAATCAATAGATTTATTCCTGAATATTGCATTTGCAATTATTGCAAATGCTGTTCTAATTATTCAAAGTTGAACTATAGCTAATTATCGTCCGTTACATTCCATTTTAGGAATGGAAGTTTCTAGAATGTACACACCTGTCCCACCGTGCCTTCATCTCGAAGATATACCGGCTAAATACGAGCCTGACTGTATGTGTTTAATAGTAAAACGCTACGAAGATGGCGCTTTAAGTCCGTCCATGACATCTCTGCAACCGGGTCAGACTGTAACTTTGAGTAATGGTCTGGGTACCTTTGCAATAAAAATGTTTGATCATTTCACGACAATTCATATGCTAGCAGCAGGAACAGGGTTAACTGCAATGCTCGGTATAATTCAGCGTGCTCTTTGTCGACGTACCGTGTAAGTTTTCAAAATTAAAATAAAAATATCTATAGTAATTGCACTTAGCGAAGTTATAATAATTTGTAATTTTCTTTTAGGCTTTTCATGAATCTCATTAATTTCAATAGAAACGAGGAAAGTATTTTCTATGACAAAGAACTTGACAGGATTTCTTTGGAACGAAGGTATTTCTGCTCTGTATTTTAGATAGTAATACTTTAAGTAAGTAGGTGACATGTGATGTGGATTCAGTCTTTTCATTGAACATAAATGCATTATATGACTGTATTTGAAAAATGAATTTCTTTTTTCAGATTTAAAGTTACTCATATTTTATCACAAGCAGGAAGTTCTTGGACAGGTAGATATGGTAAAGTTTCTGAAGAATTGCTCAGTGATCTTATAGGTTCTTCGACTTCTGAAGCTTGTGTTTTTACTTGCGGGCCTAATGCATTCATGGAAGTAGCAAGGGGGTAAGTTTGATTTTATTTGCCGGTACTTGTAAGGACGTTGCAATCACATTCTTATCATATGTCTAATACGTTCATAATTTTCATAAGCTAATTTTCAATAATTTAAATGTGGGAAACCCTGCTGAAAATAATGGTACGAACAGAGCCTGTTTCTGTACGTTTTTGATCCCCTTTCGAACAGAAACAAATAGAGGTGGTAAACATGTCCATCCATTCTTGTACATTTATAAGAAGTAATAGACGACCGTCGTACGAATACGATCCATACGTACACGTACGTTTATATGAGCCCAGAATACGTACAAAAATGTACAATTCTGTTCGTTTCCGTTTTTTAGACGTACAGAAACGCACAACGTTTCTACACGTTTCTGTTCGACTTTTCAGCAGGAAACGTAGAAAGCAAATTGAAGAATTTAGTGTTAATATGGACGATATCATAAAAAAAATGTAATAATGTTCTCTTGTTGCTAATTATGATATTTTTCAGGTTGCTGAAAAATCTTGGATGGAAAACTTCTCAGATGTTCGAATTTGACGACTAGAATTATTAAATGTATGTCCACTTTGTTTTTAGAATCAATTTTATGAAAGTACTTAAATTATATTCATCATATTTCATTGGATTTACCGATTATAGAAACTCTCCGTAAAGGAAGATCATTCCTTTTGTCAACTTGATTTCACTAAATTCTGATATTTTAACGGTTCAAAGCATTTACGACGGTCTGTATCCGTAAAACACGTTCACTGTGCTGATAAGTGACAAATGCATTCCATCTTGGTTTCGTTTTAGTAAGGAATGTGTTGACATTAAATCATAGAACTTTTTAAAATGTGAGTCAAATATTAATATAATTCCAATACGAGGAGATAAAGATACATAGAGAAGTAATGAGAAGTATTTTGCATTATCCGTTCTAAACTGTAAAAAGCTGTTGATAAATATTACCATAGATATGACACATTCTCTTGAAATATATTTATTAAGAAATATTGCTGATCGATGCCAGAACCAATTTTATGACCTTCATATTATCGTACAGGTTCAAAACGTGCATTATGTCAGTATGATCGTACAAAGGTTCAAGTGGAACAGATTGCACAAGAAGGGTAGCCGTATGGATAACTCGTTAAAAAATATTATCCTAAGGATATAACTTTATCCGTCTAGGGTGTTCCGGTATCAATTTAATTATTGGAACGTTTAGTTATGTAAAAATTCAACAAAAATTCGTATTTATTTGTACTGATCAATGGACAACTAATATTTGGAGTATACTTAGTTTAGCAGTAATACAAGAATTATAAATATGTACAATTCAGTGTAAATATGTTTCGGGTATATATTTCTGTCTTGATGTTTATAAGTACATTGTAATGTATAATGTATTATTACATAATACATGTACTGATTGTTAGGAATAAATGAGACTCGAATGGTTTGGTGTGTTGTAGTATAGTTCATTGAAGCACGATTGTTGGATCATACGTTATATTGGTTAAAGAAGTATAAATTCATGGAAATCAACATTCTTATTATATGATACAGTCACTGCAATATATTTTTTACAACCTTTAGAAAATATGTAGAAAAATAGTGATATGTAGAAAATATGTTGGGCCGAAATATCAAATTTGGATTTACTTAAGTGTTGTTTCTTTAATTTTTTGTCTATTTTATGGCATGTTCTAGTCATTCAGTCCTCTCTAAAACAAGTTCATAAGCTCGAATGAGCGCAGCTTTCGAGATGCCTAAGGCAAATCCATAATCGCTTCGAGAAGAACTTTGACGGTCGTTCACGCTGCTTTATCTCAAAGTGATAATCAAAACTTAAGGCGAATCTACTTAAAACTTTCGGCTAAAGTATACTGTAGTTTAGTTACACGAAGAACTACTACGATCGCATCTCCACAAAATCAATTCTAGAACTTTAGACTAAAAACAAAGGCGGAACGAAACAATAAGACTTATTTTATCGTCATTCAAAGAATATTTAAACAGGTTTAACAGAGATGGGTAAATTATTAAAGTGCGGTTATATAAATACAATAAAAGTATGTTTTTAGTGTCAAAAAGTGAAAACGAAAAAGAAATGTATTTTTTAATTTCCTTTATACAAAATATTAAACAAATAATTAAATTTTATTTCCTTGCAAGAGGAATTGAGGTATTCGTGCAAACGAAGTTTATAAGAAATTGACTCACGAAGAATAGTAAACATCTATAACCAATTTTAATTCAGTTTTTGATTTTGAATTTCGAGTTTTATTTGAATATTTGTTTTGTATCTGCTTTTTAACGGTTTTCTATTTCATAAAATACTAATGTTTTTTTATTTCCTCCATATACCTTTTTAAGCGTTGCCAGAGGGATGAATTTTATACCTTTCCAAAACTTGTAGCGTATTCTTAGCAGAATATAGGTATTAGATATTAATATAAAATACTAGGAAAACGCGGTAACGCTTATCGTGGACCACGGTTTCATTATTGCCACAAAAGGGTTTTCTCCCTATAAAATATTCGTCAGCCAATAATACGCAATAGTTCTTTATTATTTATCTGAAAACTGTAACTGGCTAACAAGAGGACTTTAATTAAAAGTAATACAGAACGGTGAGGATGGATTATATTGAGTTTAAATTTCCCAAGGGGAGAAACGGCTGAAAAAAAAGGCAATCCTTTCAGATTCAAAGCATTCGAAAATGAATAAACCACTATTTCGTTATTAAAACAGTTTCCTAAATGGAACTACTCGGAATATAATATTAATTGCAATAACAATCGTATTTCTATGTATAGTAATAAGATATTCAAGCAGCAATTTCCTTATACCATACGAAGGTTTTTTAATTTATACGCAAGGATTATTTTCAAACTTCATAAATCTTGAACGGTATATAATAGCCATTATAGGCAAGAATTAAAGGAAATTTCAAAATTCCTTGATCTCCGGTTATCTACGATTGGTTCGATGCATCAGCTCCAATAGAGCTTCTCGAGGCGAGTATATTAAGAACTACCGGTAAAGTAATCGGAGGCGGCCTGTCCTCAGGCCTCGAGCATGATTAATTAAGCGATATCAATAACCTTGATCACGTTAAACGCACCGAGACGAACCCTCTGACACTGGCGTCGATTCAGGGCTAACCACGCGCCGGTACGACACGGGGAGCATGCTCGCCCCTGAGAAAATCTCTGACCTCGGCTCGGCGGTACCCGTTAATGGAAAACCTAACTCGGGGGTAATTTATCTGCCACTTGCTTCGCCACATGCTACATCGACTTCGAAAACCTTTTTCCGCAATGTGACGTAACCGTGGTCATAAAAGCCAATTGTAAGAAGGTTTTGACCACGTTTAATACCCTGAGAAAAAATCTCATAGAACCAAGGAAATATTTCGTTGAATAGGACCGAAGCAATATTTGTTTAATTCAAAGAATAATTATGTTACTCAAATAAACTCGAATAAATTGGATGCCACATTTCTTTGGAATTATGATAATTTATTTGAGTGGTTTTTTTCTAAGAAGAATTTAGCATGGGGTATTTAGTTTGTTTTATTGACTTCTTGGATTATTAACTGTACAGTAGTAGAGGTAGGCTCTTGGTTTAAGTCGCTTCGAAATTGAATGTTTTGTAAACCTACGAACAATGCGTAATGAACCCACAAATTCAAAGGTTAATATTTACATGATTATATATTTATTAATCTATGTCTACGTCTATGTTAACTTGTACAAGCTACATCCCCTTCCTCGTGACCATGCGGCAAATTAAGAAGTGGGGGATTTTCTCGTCGCTATTTACGGATATTTCTGGTTCGTTGGAATTTTTTTCAACGGAAGAGTCCATCGGAAGGGCGAAGCACCAGAAGTTTCCGGAAATTGGATATTGCATCATTCGATCTAAAAGACGAAACCAAGGAATTTCGGATATCCGATTGATTTGAAATTCGATTCTAAATTGCGATTCGAACGAGAAGGTTCTACCACATATCTGTTAGTATTAAATTGCTGAGAGATCAAGTAAAAAATTACTACGAGATTAAACAAAAATAGATAATTATAATATTCCGACTAGGAATGTCGGTTCCAAACTTAATTATCGGATCTGTATTTTTTGACAAGTTGATATTTAAAATTGAAGACGCGTATATAACATTTCTAGTTATCGATCGTCAATTATTTGAGCTCATCAATGTAGCCAAGAGGTAAGCGATCTTTTTTAGCATCTGCCCCAATTTGTCGAAACCATGTTATAAAAAAACATTACAGTGAAACAAGCCGTATGACTAACTCATAGAAAAGTAACCTGATACATACGGCAACACGGTTCATTACTTTTTTAAATCATAATAAATACATCAAGCTCGATATACTTATAAATATTCTAAAAGTAAAACCAAATGAATTCATCTCGAGCATACGCGGAGGATTGCGTTCTTCTCTTCCATCTTTTTTTACGGCTGCGGGATTTCATTCGGTCTCAAGTGGTACCGGCGATATAGAATTGCATTATAGAAAAGTTTCTGTACTGGACAGCTCAGGTACACATATTGCGTATAAGAAGTGGTCGGCTTCTTTCAGGTCGAGTAAGTCTGACCGTATGGCTGATTTCTCTACTGGGGCGGTGAGTCGTACATAGGCGCACATAAATGGACGTGCATAGGCGCACATAAGTGGACGTACATAGGCGTTGGGCCTCGCTGATCTCGGCGGAGCGGCCCACGGAGAGGCACCGCCGGTCGGGATATTTCAATGAAATGCACTTTCTCCCTTTTACGGCGACGAGGCGAAAGAATTCCTTTGATGATTCCTCGCGAACCGAATGCATGCCCGGCGATCGAGCCCGACTTTGAGCAGACGTTGTACTTAGCGAATGCGCCGTCTCGCGCTCGAACGGGAGGAGCCCCTTCGATCGAAATTTCCCTAAGCGATATGACACGAAATCGGCGGAAATGTGCCCTGAGAATTTTGCACCTCGCTCGTAGAACGTAGTTCTGAAATTACATGGGGAGAGAATCACTAACCTCCATTTGGGATGGAGGTTAACAAAGACATACGTTAACTCTTCGAGTGCGCGTACCTTAAATCGAGTAATATGCGAGATTTAATATTAATTACGATGATACGATCCTGTGGGTCCTTGGCGAAGCCATTTTATGAGAGTTTCTCAATACTTCTTTTTGCTATAAGTGAATTTAAAATAATTTCAGGTTATATAATTGAAACATATTGGAGTTCTTAGCGTCAATTATTTTAAGCAAGTGGTACGAAGGAAAATTTATTCCGCATATGTGCACGAGTCACGGAAAGTGTACGCTGAGGAGTGAGATTTTACTTCACGTAAAGGGTTAAGGTGAAGTGAAACACGTCGAGGAACTTGATCGACGTCGATAAAGAAGGTTTTCCTAAATGCCTACGTTGCCGACGTTCGTTTTTATATTGACAGCTGTATCAAATTATATTGGATATTGTACCAAATGGCATACTCCACCTGTCGTTTTCGTACAATAAATATCAAGAAATCGAAGTAAAACTCCAGAAATCCTCTGGATTCGTGCTTTCTGGGGTCCTAACTGACTGCAGAGGGACACCCTGCGCCATCTGTGATTTCCAGGTCAATTAAATTTTCCCTCCGAGACCTCGTATATTCATCGTTTTGGCATAGAAGCGCATACAACACTTTTTTTGCCTTTATCCCGTTCAAATGCGAGTTTACCGATTACCAGAGTGTTCTAAATTGTCGTAAAGTTGTCCTGAACCTGTCGTTTCTCATATCAGAGCCTTCGATAATTGTATATTGATCGAAATATGAGAGCTCGACGCCATTTTGGTTCTGGTCTGGGCTGAGTTCAAAAATTTTGTTAAAAAATCCAAATTTTGAATGTGTCAGGACAACTCTTAGATGATCAGGAGTGATGTGTCAATGTTTCGGACAGTTTGGTCTAATACCCTTAAAAAAAAGTGTTGTATTCGAATCGATTGATCTGAAGGGGGTTTCACTTCACCTTAAACTGCCGTCGCGCAGTTAGACACGTCTCGTTGACTCCGAGAGAGTGATTCCTCGATTGAAATTTTTGTTTCGCGATATGCCACGAAATGTTTCCTGAGAATTCCCTCTTGGCACTTTACTTTTAATAGAGACTAAGTCTGCGAACGTGCGCGATATGTGTAGCAGCGGATGTTTCAATAAGACTTGCCGTGAATACCACGGTTATACCTACACCCACGTCGATTACACGATGAAACAAATACTACGATTACACCTACGATCGATTCATATTTTTTATTATTTCTATGGATACTTTAATTAAGGACACGCAACAATAACCGTACGATATTGTACCGCGAAAAAGAAATATTGCAATAACAATAGTTCGAAGTGGGGGTATTATCAATAAAACACACGATATTGAATATTCCATATGTCGCATTG